AATGCTTATAAAACTCAATTTACCAAATTCTAAGTACCTTATAAATGTGACCTAATTTTTTTTTTATAACTTTACGAAAATTGCCTTTTATTAAATGCATCTTAAACTGATAAGATTTTTTGTGTCTAATAAAAAAATGTTTATTTTCCTACTGAAAGTACCATTTTTACTCAGGAATGAATTATTATGTTACATTAAGATATATGGGGAAAAAAATTTCTTGCACATATCTATGTACTTCATAATTTTTTTCTTCCTGAAAGTGTATTAAATTTAGAAAATTCTAACAGGTTAAGAGAACCTTGTACTGGCTGTGCTGCACCTTATGGATTTTTGAACCACATGCCATTAACAACTGAAACTGAGACATTTGCTCGATTAGTACGAGAAGCTCAAGTATCTGGAAATTTAGATGCACCAGAAGGTGGTTTTGATGCTATAATGCAAGCAGTTGTTTGCCAGGTACTTATTTCTATTCATTCCCAAAAACTCTGGTACCTAACAACTAACCTGTACCAATTTCCTAACCTATTTTACGAACTGAGAAATTTTAGAAAGAAAGTTTTCTTACATGCTGTTTTAAAAATATTTTGAGTTCTAGAGCATATTGTTATTTCACAATGTTTTAAATTTTTTTTTCTAACTACAGTGAAACCTCCAGGAAAGACCATCTCTGTGTAGTGACCTCCTCTATTTGCGACCACTTTTGGGAGGCATGTAATTTTTTCCATAAACTTAGTGTTGAAGAAAACCTGTAAGAGAGACCGTCAAAACCTTCCCCAGCGATATGGCAAACCTCTGCACCAAATATTGAAAAAGTCAAATCAAATTATGTGTGAGTGGCTCTTATTTAGAGAGCTCTTTTTGAAGATCTCTTAAAGAGATTGACTAACTCATGTTGCAGAAAGATGATGCAATCTATGATTCATTTTTAAAAGTGAAAGTGAAATTAGGAAGAAAAGTAGTAATTTTAGAAAAAATTAAGCATCTCAAACAAACGAACCTCTTCTTTTTTAAAACTTATTGATTTTTATGATATAAAATTAAATGCAAACTTAAACATAATTGTTTATTTATTTAAAATAGTTCTCTCATTCATAATTGGTAAATTTGTTTTTGCACATAATTGTTCGTAAAGGCCATTTTTTATTGGAGCTAAATTTTATTCATCAATCCGGTTTTCATAATGCCAATACATGGGGCATTTCTGCACCAAGAAAATGACACTGAGTAAAATTAAAGTTGTTTGCGAAAAATCATGCACCTTCCATAACATTTTAAGTTCAAAGATGGTAACCTCTAAGAACGACCGACCTTCATTAACAACCATTTTACTGTGGAACAGAGAGTGGTCCCTCCGAGAGATTTCACTGTACAAAATTTTTTTAATGTTTCATAGAGCTTGTTCCACCATCATAAAACAGTACATCATTATAACATTAAAGTACTTCAGTCCCAGCTATTTAACAATATTTTTTTTTGCATTTGGATGCATTGTTGGATGCATTTAATGTCATAAATTGTTCAACAACACTCATGAATTGTATGTTTATTCTGATCATGGAATTATCAATTAATTAAAAGAAATCATTTGTATGATGAATTTGGCTTCAGTGTTTTGGTTTAACTAAAATAAAGGCAATTGCCTCATAAAAAATCTTAAAAGCACTTTCAGTTAGAATGTAACAGTGGACAGACTTTGAATGTATTTTATGAAATCAGTAACAGATGCACGATTCAATGAATTCCATTTAAAAGCTGCAATGATGTTATTAGAAGACTTGTTTAGTGAATACAGAAGAATAGTAAACTTGATAGATTTTAAAAATGGAAGAAAAATTTTTTTTTGTTTTTTCAGTTTAAAAGCTAATTGCTTTGTTTACAGTGTACCTCAGTATTAACACATCTTTAATTTTTTTCTTCTCTAAAAATATGAGCTATAAGGCACAATAAAAATCGCATTTATCTGTGGAAGTTGTAGTATTACATTATGTTCATACAAATAAAAAATCTTGAACTTTAGGAAGAAATAGGATGGAGAGGAAAGTCGAGAAAAATGCTTGTGTTCTCTTCTGACAGTGGTTTTCATTATGCTGGTGATGGAAAAGTAAGTATCCAACAACTTGATTGTTTAAGACATACTTTAACATTTACTTTGAAATAAATTATTATTGACATGTTCAATTTAGGCTGTTTTATACTGTTATTTATCTCAACTGATAAATAATGCAATAGAACTAAACCATATTAATTTGAAAATCCCTCTCTTTTTAATGATGTTAGTAATTATTTTTTTGTACTTATAAATATAATTTATTCTATTATAAAAATTCTCCTAAATTATTTAATCTATACATCTTTAAAATATTATAGAAAAAAGAAAGCAACACATTGATGACAAAACTATGCAATATCCAACTAATTGTAGTTGAAAATTTTAAACAGTTGTGTCTATACATTAAAATTTTTGCTAACCCTACATTTGAAATAGATATATAGTAGAACCCTCGTTTTCTGTCCAAAAACCGACATTATAATGTGGGGATGTTATGCCATGATTGCACAAAAATACTGTAAGTAATTGCCCATTGTAAAAAAAATACTAGATAAATTTTAACAAAGCAACGTTTTCCTTTAAAAAGAATTTAGTGATTCACAAAAAAATTGGTAATTACTCAACTATTTTTTGATATTAATATGTAAGCAAAAGAATGCTTTAACCCCTTCCTTCTCACTCCCGTGAAAATGACCGGGTGAGGTTTCGCCCTCTATTTCTCGCTCCCGTGATATTCCCAGGCTGGAGTGTTCTGTAGTAACGCGCCAATATATATAAAACTAATTCATTTCTTTTGCCCGGAAAAGATTTTATTTCTCATTTTACACACCAGATGGCAGTACCAGGATATTTTTAAGGTGTAGATAGTTTATATTAAACTAGATGTCAGCACTAATCAAATGTTTGTATAATATTCGTGTATAAAAAATAGTCAGTTTTATGACCGTTTTCTTGAAAATCAACTGATCGTTAAGGGGTTGAAATATTACTTCATGGGTGAAAAATAATTTGCTGGTGTGAGAGCTGCCCTTTTCGATGACATATATCAAGGTAACTGCAAAGCCTGCATATTTTAACTTTAAAATGAATTGCGCAACAGAACTGACTTTTCACAAAAAGAATAAAAACATATTTTAAACAACAAAAAATTGTAAAAAAAGTGTACAATTTCTTGTATCCTTTCAAAGGAAAGTTACACAGATTATGAATGACCATAAATTAAGGCTACATAAAACTTAAAATATGAATTTAGTGGGTTATGTAACTCTTCTTTCTTTCAAAAGAGATTCTAGGTGTGACATTCATTCAAAATGAATGAATCATTATAATGAAATTTTCAAAAAGTATAAATACAAGGTGCATTCATAAGAGTTACTAGATTTAAATTCATTTTGTAATTTTTTCATGCTTACAAAATCTTTTCTCTTCTTGTAGTTTGTATAAATAATGAATTGTTATTTTTATTTTTATCAAAGAGTGTGCTTATATGTTTGTTGCATTTAAACTTCTTTTTAACATTCTATGTGTTTTAATTTTAAGCTAATTGTCTTCATATATATATATATATATTCTTTTAGCTTGGTGGTATTGTAAAACCAAATGATGGACATTGCCATTTAGATGATGATGGATATTACACTGAAAGTATCCACCAAGATTACCCTTCCTTAAGTCAGATCAATCATAAAATTCAAGAACATAAGGTCAATATTATATTTGCAGTTACAGCAAACCAAGTGCCTGTTTACGAGCGCCTAAGTAGTTTATTGGAAGGCTCTAGTGCTGGAAAATTAGCTAATGATTCTTCAAATGTGGTTGATCTTGTACGGAATCAATATGATGTAAGCAATTAGTTTCCTCATCCTTACCTCTAAAAAATTCATGTAAGACAAAGTACTTCACAGTTGAAACAGAAAATGCTCTTAACTGTTAAATACTTTGCAGAACAATTGAAGGGTGATTTTTGTTGGTTGAGTGGAGTGTGTAGGGTTGTGTGGTGATTTTTGTTTTATTATGTTGTAATTTTTAGATATTTTATCAATTAGGTTTTTTTATTTAATTTTAATTTGAAAAATAAAATTAATCCATTCAATTTTTTAAAAAAAATATGAATAATTTAATAGGTAAAAGTTTATTTATTACAAATTAATTTTATGCAGAACCTTTGTTATTATCTATTCCGGAAATTCTTAGAGTATTAGCATTGGAATGCACATACATAATTTATCATGTTATGTGTGTGTTATAACCTATTATTAGTCATTAAAACTTTTTTTTCCATAGAATGAATCATACATTGTAAGAACTTAACCATTGGTACTATTCACTTCTTGTTTTTGTCATCAATGCTATTTTGATTAATACAAACTTACTATTTTTGTTATTTTTACTTTATATTAAGAAAGCATCTCTTTTATTTCTTATTTTTTGAAATTCATATCTTGAGTTTTAAGTATTTAGTTGATGAAGTTGGAATTTTTTTGTTTAATGTATGTTAACCATTAAGTATGAAACAATGAACAATTTTAATTCTAGGAAATTTCTTAATTGATATTTTATAAATATATTTTATTTACTTCTTTAATTTAAAATGTATTATTATATATATATATACAGTAGGGAATCGATTATCCGGAACGATCGGGACCATCGCTATTCCGGATAACTGATTTTTCCGGTTTTCTGAATCGCTACAAAAAGCCGTTTTTTTTTTTATTATTATTGTTAAACACAACTAAAAAAAAAAAATTTGGAAATAATCTTAAAAAAAAGAAAAAACGATGAAGTAATACTCTAATGATTATTTCCAAAATGGTGGTCAGGTAAACATCTTTTAAAAAAGAAAGAAAAATCCTAAAATTTTATGAGGAAAAAAAAAAATTTTTAAAAATGGCGGGAAAATTTATTGAATTTCATTCCGGTTGTTTGGTTTTCTGATTTCCGGATAACGGGTTCTGTACTGTATATATATATAAAGTCTGTGATATTTTTCAAATTTTTTTTCCTAAAGATCTTTACGATTTAGATTTATTTAGATAGTGGCCACTCTGTATCACCTTACTCCTTTAATTATTCATCAATAAAGCAACGAATATGTCTGTCACATAAATTTGTCTTAAAATGTTTTTTTAATTGTAGAAAATAACATCAGCTGTGGAAATTAAAGATAATGCTGGAAGTAATATTCAAGTTAATTATTATTCAACATGCTTAGGGTAAGTAATTTTAAACTTAGATCTTATTACACTCTCATCAGTTTATACACACTGACATTTATATACATTTTTAGAAACTTATACCTGTGAAGTAAACAAGACGATAACAACACCTTCCTACCTTATTTTAATTTTGTCTCTGAGTCTTAAATTTATGTACATATTTTTATATTTAAATGTCATTTCATAATTACTTTTTCTTTAAATATATGCTAATCAATTAATTTTATGAGGTAAGAGAAGATAAAAAAAATAATCAACTTATCATGAACAACCCTTCCAATTATTATGCAAAATTCAAATAGTCATATTAAAAGCTAAATGGGTAGTATGATGTATTTACATTATTTTCTGTGTATTGTCTACCTATATTTCACTGAATATCCCAAAATAAATTTAACAAAGAACAGTAAAATTTGAAGAATTTCTATTAAATTCTATTTATTACTACAGTCGAACAGTCTATTTATTACTATAGTGAACCTGGGATATGGTGAACACTCCGATGTAGTGAACTTTTTTAGCGATCCCGTCCGTATTCCTATTTAAATAATGTTATTTTTAACGCTTATAGTGAACAGCTTAGAACTTGGAAACTCGGTTATAGTGGACTCAAATTTCATTTCTTTAAATATCTTTTTCAGTCCTCCATCTTTAAACTTGTAGGTGTTGGGACTGAAAATGAATGCATTCCTATAAAATGTGTCATATTACTCTCCTTTATGCTTATCACTTTTAACTATACTGTAATAAATGTCAAACAGATCATTTATCTTATACTCCCCCCTCCCTGACAAGCCTCGCTTTATCTCTTTTCCCCAAGCTTGCTCTACAACTAGTTAACTTGGCCACCTGCTGAATTTTTGGAATTTTCTTATCTGTTCAAACCATATTCTTTACAAATCACCCCTTGACAATCAAGAAGGGGAACAATTTAACTCATTCTACAGCTGCTCTCTTCATATTCTTACATTATCTATTTGAGACAAGATTTTTATTTCAAAAGCAGTGAAAATGGCAAATTCTCTAAAGAGAAAAGCGTTTTCGATAGAGGACAAAGTTAAAATTGTAAAGCGTATTGATGATGGAACCAATCAATCGACACTGTGTAAGGAATTTTCCTTGTCAAAATCTACAGTTTCAAACATTTGGAAAAATCGAAGTGCAATTCTTGCGGCATACGACAAAAACATGGTTTCATCGAAAAAACTGCGTGGAGCTGAAAGAGAAAACGTAGAAGATGCTTTGTTAAGATGGTTCGAAATCTTGTTCAAAATGTAAAAATCTTGCATTCTTTGCACATTGTAGATAAGAAAATTGATGAACTCAATTTAAAATCAAATTGTGTTCAATCAAAAATCACAAATTTTTTTCATAAAAAGTGAAAATAAAACTAATATTTAGCGACGTAATTACTTTTTCCATCAATTTTTGCTTTATTATCTGTTAATTAGTTAATAATTTTTTAAATAACTTATGCAAAATTGCAAAGCCAATTTTCAATCATTCAACTGTCTTATGCAAAAAATATTCTTCAAAAAATTTGGATATAGTGAACCATCGGTTATAGTGGACACATTACTGAGTCCGCAGACGGTTCACTGTATTAAATTTCAAATAGAATTCTAAGAAATTATATTTTCTCATAAATTTGGATAGTTGCTAAATTTGAGGCCCAAAAAAGCTTTTAGAATGCATCAGTTGTTCATTTTATTAACTTGTTTATAATTTGAATTGTGTGTTTTCGTGAGAAGTTTCCGCAAAATAATTCATTTGTAGTGAGGGAGGTTTAAAATATTTTTTATATTTGATTTTATTAATGTGCACTAATTTGCTTATATTATTATATGTTAAAGCAGTAAACTGCAAAAGAATATAGTTTAATCTTATATATCAATTGGTGAGAGGGGTTATCACAAGGCTCCAATCTAATATTTTGGTTTCAACTATAGCATCCTTTGTTCTATTATATTTGTTTATTTATTAAGCAGAAAAATCACAAAGACATTTTTCTTGATAGTTTTGTGTTTTTTATTTCTCTATTTGTTCAATCAATAGCTACTTACCACAATTACACATTTACCAGATTATTTTCTTTTTCTGTAGAACAAAGCGTGAAAACACTAATATCTGCAAAGGGTTGAAAGTGGGTACAAATGTGAGTATAAACTAATTATTTCTTAAATGTTGCATGCTTTATACTATAACTGTTTTTTAAACAATTAGATTAATATTTATAACAGAAGCATTATTAAATCTCTTAGTTATTTCTCAGAATTTAAGAAGGAAAACAGAAATCTAATTTGTTTTTATCATTATTTATGTTTAATTAATTAACTTTTGAGAACTATTATTTTAAGTATTAAATAACTTTCGTTTTATGTTGTTGTTGTTTCTTTTTTTTTTAACCAGTAATTTCAGGTATCTATTAGATTTTGCTGATCCAGTTTTTAAGTTCACCAATTTTAATACTAACTATTAGAATATTTGTCTTTTATTTTAATGTTCACCTTTTTCATGTACAATTTAGAAAATAAAAAACTATTTCTATATATATATCTAAATTATGGAAATTCATGCATCAAAAGATAGTTTTTATGATTACCTATTGTTTTTAGCAGGCAACAGGTATTGTGTGGGCATTTTACATACCTAAAACAGTATGCTTTAAAGCATTTGTATCCCCCCCCCTGTTTTTTAAACAAATTTATAACTTGCAACACTTAAAGAAAGTCCTTACATCTGTTGTTTTTCTTACTGGAAAACTAGTTTTCTTTCGGTTTTGTGGAGAAATTGTTTTACAAACTTGCCGAAATATAAACCCTCAATCAATTAAAGAGAAACACGTATGTTGGTTAAGAAAAAAAATATGTATGTAAAACCAACAATAACTTTCTAAAATTTTTAAAAATACTTATATATTTTTCTTTGTTAGGTTACATTTGAAGCTAATATTGAAGTCACAAAGTGTCCGAAAGATCCAAAAGAGTGGAACCAAACATTTCAAATCTATCCTGTAGGCTTGAATGAAGCTTTAACAATCCATTTGGAAATGATATGCGAGTGTGATTGTGAAAAACCTTGGAATGAAGTAAATTCTAATGATACTGCACTTTTATCTTTTAATTAGAGATGTCATTTTTACTTATAATATTTACTCCTTTTCAGGAAAAAAACAGTGGTAAATGTAGTGCTGGTAATGGCACTTATGAGTGTGGTGTCTGCAGCTGTTACAATAACAGGTATGGGCGAGAATGTGAATGTGATGCTAAAGACAGTGACCAGGCAACTGATGATATTGGTTGCTATTTGTAAGTATTGACAAATATTATCTTCTACATCTCTCTCAAGTTAATTAAAAATTCCTTGCTAAATGAATGTCCATTCATCTGTAAATGTTAGCAATAAATCATTCATGAAAAATTATGAGTTACCAAATTACACCTTATAACAGACTCTATACTGGTAAAACTTTATTAATCTGTGAATAGGCTTTTGCTATTTTCCAGATCTGTCAATTTTCATGTTCTGTTTGAACGATACATAAATTGAGTTGTTGAATTATATTATGGAGCGACTAATACCCCTAAATAGGGTTGTATTATTAGGGTAAAAAATTATTGCATTGAATAGGTATAAAAGCTCTTAATTTCTTTAATATCCTAGATTTAAGTGACATATGTTTATTATAAATTTCGAATAATAAAATTTTTTAAATATAATTAATTTTCTAATAATAAAAGTTCTTTTTAACTGAATTTGTTGCAAATTCTTTTACAATCCTTTCTTAAATATAAGATCTTTTAAAAAGTCCTTTTTCTTAATGTTGAAATTTTTATTTTTTATTGTGTTCTGTTTCCTACCTTAACTGTACTTGGCTTTAAGTTTTATATAATTCATACCTTTTCTTCTGCCCCCTGATCATTAGTTGCAATTTTTTATGAACTGACTTTCCAGCTATGGAGAACCTTATCATGTACCCTCTGTGTTTAATGCGAAAGTAGTGCCTTATATATTTTTGTCAAGAGGCACTCTGCTTGGAGAGTTAAATTTTATGTGAACATTTATATTTAATTTAAGTGCCTAATATTACCTTAAACTTTATTTTTCTGCCCATCTTGTAATGAAAATTATGTAAGAACCTAGTGTAAATATTCAAATTCTGTTAGAGAATAAATAGTTTAAGGAAGGAATACCTTTATTAATATATATATTTATTTATTTTTAGTGGAAATGATACTAAGCCATGTTCTGGTCGAGGTGTTTGTCGTTGTGGTGAATGTGAATGTTACAAGCGACCTGTAAGTTTATTTTCTTATAATGAAAACAGCTTTTACTTAATTGTATGCTACTAAAAATTGTGTTGCTTATCTAAATATTTATGAAGTATTTAACAAATTCTGTAACTTACTGTAAATGTACTAAATATAAAATGTGGGCTATATTCATTAGCTTTTTCTCTTTTCTATGTTGATACATACATTTACATAATTTTTCTATTTAGAATGCAGAAGAAAAGGTCACTGGTAAATTTTGTGAGTGTGATAATTATTCCTGTGATAGATCTGATGGTAAAATATGTAGTGGTAAGTATAAGTTAGAGTTTATATAATATTTCTTTGGGAAGTCTAAACTTTCTCGAAATGTAGAATCACATACTAATCTAAGTTATATACTTTATTTATTTGATGCTGTTTGCTCTCCTTTTATTGCTGCACTGAAGAAAAATCATTTACAATCAAATATTAATTTTAATCTCTAATAACATCAGTTGAGCAAAAGGTGCAACTTTAGTGCCCAGTTTGTGCATAAAAATTCAGTTTTGTTGCTCCAAAACAGCACACAATTTTTGTTTTTCATCTAATTGTTTATTTAAGACAGTTCCCTTCCTCCCATTGAGAGCATTAAAAATGTAATATTTTACTAAATGGACAAATTTCACTTGTTATGATAAGAACATATTAAATATTGGAATTGAAAATGCTGTGTTCAATAGGTTGACAAAATATCTAAATGATAGGATTTACTATAGAATCAGTGCAGATAGATCACAACCAGAAGTAGTGCCTTAAAATTTGACATACTTATATTGTAATAACATCGATTGAAAATATTGAAGTTCGAAAAAAATAAGTGGAAGTGGCCGAAAAAATTAATTGTAAAACAGAAAATTACTGTGAAATCATGTGTGTCACTAAGTGATTTTCTAGTAAATCCTAAGCTATATAGAGTTTTATATGTAATTAAAAATATCAGGAAAGGAGAAACTATTAAAATGTGTAAAGAACAATTAGAAAATGATGTGGATTTATGATGGTATTGTTGCAAATCCAGCTGTTCAAAAAGTGATAACTGGAATTCAAGATTCTAGTATTGTAATAACACCATATTAAAGATAATCGTAGTTCGAAAAACCATATTGCAATGAGGAGAAACGACAAACAGGATGAGACTCGCTGCAATATTCTCTTCTAGAATTAATTCTGCATTGAAGGTTTTATATATTATTGATAATGATAATGTGTTTTTATCGGTAGTGGTAAATAAGTTTAATGTTAAGAGCGAATTTTATTTAGTTTGAAATGTTTGGATATTTCATATATTTAATTATTTCAAATGCATATTTATTTAAATATTATAAAAGCCTGTAAAAATAAATTCTAAAAAGACTATTTCTGAAGGAAACTCATTAAGTAAATTTTTTCAGTTAAGTTATGGAATTTTCCTATTGGTTAAGCATTAGCATCATTTTAATTAAATTATAGACTATTCTATTTTTTCAAACGTTTTAAACTTAGCATCAATGGTGTTTGCTAGTTAATAGCTCTATTGTAAAAGGGATACATAGTAAATAGAGTTTATTGCTTTCTTTGATATTTAGTATATTAATATTCTTTAGTTTCTTTAATATTTAACAATTTTTAGTCATTATATCAGGGAAACTATTTTATCATTTTGAATGTGATAGTTAAGGCATACTATGTAACCACATTCATAAAATAATTCATTTGAAACCATGTATTTATTTTGTAGTGTTACTTTTAAAATGTGTTTCTGTCATACTAAATTACTTAAAATCAACTTAAGTTGAATTTAAAAAAGCAAGTTACGTATGGAAAAGCAAAATTAATGGTTAAATGGTATTAATTCGTTAGGAGGAAAGTATAAAATTGACAAACTATTATTTACACTAATGATGATTAATTAAGTAGTAATTGTAGCGATTTGGTAGCCAGACATCCTATGCAAAAGTCTATGTATATGTTCTAAAAAAACTCAATGGAGAAAAGGTACTGCTCACCATGGAAATAAAAAAAAAATATGTACAAAAAAGCAAAGTTAATGGAGAAATGGTACTAATTGGTTTAAGTGAGATGTAAAACATCAACATGCTATTATTGTCGCCAATGATGCATGATGCACAACTATAGGTATTGTAGTAACTGGTGTAGTCTCAATATGTAGCAAATCTTTTAATATAGGTACAAAATATTATAATAGCATATTTGGTATCTATTAAAACTGCATCAATACTGTTCAGCTTTATTATTAGAGAAATGCATTTTTATGGCCTCTGGAAAGTACCAGAATTCTTAAAAGCATGTAAATAGTAGATAGAAATTGGTAAATTTTGGCTATCATGAGTTGGCCTTGAGCAACTGCAATGTGCGAAATACTGAATCAGTTAATCTGTATTTTGATGTTTGTCCAAAAATGTGTGTTGTTTATTTTGTGTTGCTCTGAACATAAAGACTATTTGCATGAATCTGCTCCAAAAAAAATTTTTTATTTGCTTTAAAACACAATATTTCCTGCTCCAAAAGGATTTTGGTGCTGCTCCATCCCTGTAAGTTGTATTGTTTCTAAAGATGATGAAGGAAAAAAAAATGAGAAAAAGTTGTAGTTACCTTTTGCTTTCATGAATTTTTAAAAAAGGACTGTGTAAACTCGACACTATGATAATCTAGGCATATAAAATATTATAAAAATTATTCAGTATTTTGGTTGAATAGTCAAAGAAACTTTTGCTAAAAATATAATAAGTATTTTGATTGAGATAGTGATTATGACAAGAACTTAAAAAAATGCTGTTCATTTTATATAATTGCTTTTATTTCCATTACAGAATGGTACAGAGATAGCTAATTTTTCATTTCCATACATTTTTGTTAATCGATTTACAAAAACTCATATTTAGTTATTTTTGTATTAAAAAAAGTAATTATGTACCTTATATTTTATGACCTATTGTAATACATGTTATTATTTGCATATGTTGTTTCAAATAACTATGTATTTGATAATATCCATTCAATCTATAGGCCCTGAACATGGAGTTTGTGATTGTGGTAAATGCAAATGTAAACAAGGTTGGACAGGCTCCGACTGCGGATGCAGGGATACAAATGAAACTTGTATGGCACCAAATGGAGTAAGTCAAATGTTGCTCTTCAACTGAACTGTATTATTTCTTTAATGGAAAAAGTACTATGTGAATTGATTTATCTTAATAATACTTTATAACACTAGTTCTCAATTGCCAGTTCACAAACACTATTACCTTTAATTTATTTATTTTATGTTAAATACAATGTTTTTAGAAGGGTGGTCCACCTTGTCTGCCTTTTTGTAAAAATGTTGTTCCTTTTTTATTCAGAAAAAAAATGCTCCTTTTTTATTTTAAGAAAAGAGATTGCAGCAACAGAAATCAGGAACTTCAGGATACCATAATTACTGCAAATTATATTTAGGCTAAGTTAATTTAAAATATTATTTCTCATATCTGAGTATTTTTAATTTGTGTTAAAGATCACTAATCTAGTTGGATATAATTGATGTGATTAATAAGATTAGTGCCCTTCCAGACTAAGGTTTTTGCAAAATCACTTTGCCCTTTTTTATTTTTTGGGAGATTTTAAAATACAAAAAAAGACATTTCTACTTTACTTATAAACAGAAAAATTTTCTTTCTTATTTGTCTCATATTTACTTGTATTCTTTTCTACCTTTACATGGTTCCATAATTTGTTTTTGCTATTTTGTTATTTGAGTAGCAAAATAAATATTTTAGTTAGAATTATTTTAAATTTTATTTATATTTAAATAGGTCTAGGCTCAAATTTTTTTTTTTAATTGTAGAGAGTATGTGAATGATCAGAATGAATCAGAAAAGAAAAACTGATTAAGTCACAATTTTTCTTTGGTAAAAATTATGCTAAGAATCCAAATTTCTAGCCTTACCTGTCTGTGATAGAATGCTGAAATAATTTACTGGTCCTTCAAGTAAATTATTTTGAAGAGCACTGCTTTGTAAAATTCATACAACTTATCATTGTGCTGCATTTTATTCTATGCTGAAACATTTACAGAATGTTTATCATAAAGTAAAATATAAATGAATTGAGGATCTTGGAACAAAAACAGCAGATCATAATGACCTTAAAATGTTAAGACGTGTATGGCAGAAGAACTTTCGATGATGGAGTACAGGAGTTATAGTCATGAGCCAATTTGATTCTTAAGCATATAGATGATAAAACTAAACTGTCCTACATTTATCTCAAAATTCAAGACTGATTCAGATTTGGCTTTTTAAACTGAGTGTTTTAATCATTGGTAGTGTTTCGTTTACATTTTTGTAACATGGCTATTAAATTGTTTCATTGCTCTCTATTTATTTCTTTTCTCTTCGTTTCTATTTATAGAAAATATGCAGCGGACATGGTGATTGTGAATGTGGTGCTTGCAAGTGCTATGATTTGGAAGAAGGTCGATATAGTGGAACGTTTTGTGAGCGATGTCCGGTAACTATTTTTAAAATTTTTTTATTACAAGTGCTTACTTTTAATGTTTTTCCTTGTTAATATAAGTATTTTTTTTTTATGCAAAAGACTTGTCCTCTGAAATGTGATGCTTTTAGAGATTGTGTTGAATGTCAAATATTCCCTGATGATAATGATGTTCCTCCTGAGAACTGTACAGCTTGTTCATTCATCACAATAGGTGTTGATAAAGTAGAAGGTAACCAATAGTTTCCTTTTTTGTTTATTTTTCGCATGTAGGTATGCTGTTTGACCAGCAAAAGAGGAACTCTTAAGTAACAGACTTGTTATTTGGAAGACGCTATGGAAATACGTTATTTCACAATATTGTCGGTATGACAGAAGTTCATTTAGCAAATAAAGAGTCTTAAATGGAAACACAATAGAGCTGGGTTGCAGATCGTGGGATATCAAGTTTCTTTTAAGCATTGCGATATTGAAATATGATGTTTCAGGTATAATATGACCAGGGGTCTGTCCAGACATTTTGATAAAGGTCCTTTTTTGTAAAATTGTGAAAAAATTACTCGTAATTTATGAATATAAAATAAATGTTAAGTCACATTCTTTCAACCAGGGTCCCGCTTTTGTGAATTTGTGCAAATAGGTCCTGTTATTGCGAAAAACTTTTTAAAAGAGTTTTTAAATTGTAAAGACATACAAGATTATACTCAACACTGTAAAATTATAATTAAAAAAAAAATTATTTTAAAAAGTAAACAGCAATTGCTGCTACTAAATTAAGCTATAAAACATGCAAATATTTGGTATTTAGCCTATACTGCAGAATATTAATTTCGGACGGATAAAGGAAGAAGCATCTGCCGAGGACAAAACTTAGTTCGTTTTCACCTGTCTTTCTCCCCCCACCTATTCCTGGAAAGGGTTTATTCGATTAACAAAACAGTAATGTGAAGATTTGAACAAATTTGTGAAACAGTTGTGTAAAACAAATTTGTGAAGGGTCCGTTTTTATGAAAAGATATTTTGTGAAGAACGGACCCAAATTTCTTCTAAACAGACCCCTGATGACCTACCACCACTATGTCTTATCATCATGGAATTACTGGTAACAATAACTATTGAATCCGATGTTGTTGAGAGTGATGATTAATTTCGTTTGAAAAATGAAAATTGATCATTGTTAAAATAAGCAAAATAATTTTTTTGTTGAAAATATGGATATTTTCTAATAATGTATTGCAACATTAAAATTCTAATATCAACCAGCTCTTATAGACAGTCATCTTCTGTCTTACCTATGATTCCATTAAATAACCTATTTTGAAAACTATTTCTACCGTATCTCCTGCCTGAAGCTTTTCTGTTGGTGGACTAATTATACTATTTTTCTTAATTCTTAAAATATTGCCCACTAAATTTTTAACTTCTGTAAAAAATACTCTTCAATTTATATTGACCATTAAATTTTTTTTGTTATTATAGTTTAGTTAAAGATTTAGTTTATCATCACGACTTTTTTTGGTTTCAAGTGGTACTTTTTTGGCATTTATTATTTTGACGTACATTATTTTAATGATTTAGACTTGCGGATTGATAATCAAAACGTATATATTTCTCAAATTCGTGCTATAGCACTTTCTACTTTTGGAAATAGATATCCTGTAAATTATTGGACTTACCTCTATACAGACAATTCAATGCTTCAGAGATATGCTGGAGTTTAATGTGAACAATTTACTTTAGTTAGCAAAGTTTCAATTCAGAATAGGAGGCTGTTTTTATTGCCTTGAAACAAATTATGGGATTGAAGCCAAAATTCATTATTGTAGTTATGCTGTCTGAGTTCCAAGTCTGCTGTCCACGCAATCTTCAATAATAAAGGATGCAATTATAAATGCCTTTATGAATGTAGGTCTCTTTTGGATTGCTGATTTCGTTGTGTTACATTAGATTCTCTCCCACAGTGGGATGGAAGGTAGTAAAAGAGCTTATTACCTTGCTAAGAAAGGTACCACTGTTTTGCAGAGACCCTATCATCTTTTGTCATTTCATTCTGCTTAAATTAAAATGGATGGCTATGGTAAATGCATTAGTTATGGAAAAGGGCAGCGAACATCTTTATGGTAATGGATTGTCTATCCATGACCTTCCATGAAACTCTGCTGCTGCTACTTTTTATATTTTAACAGGACACGATTGTCTCAATTCCCATTTCTTTAAAATTGAACTTAATGACTCTCTGGCTTGCTGTCTTTGTTATACTGCAATAAACAGTTGCCATGTCGCTGCATGCTTTTTTGTACAAATAACTTTTTTGTATTATGTATTGTTAATTTATAAAATAGTACTTTTGTTTGATATATTTTTTTCTTTTTATAGTTTTGTGAAGTTTTTTTTATCATTATCAAGCATTTAATTTTGAATTAAAAGCAGTTGTTTATTTATTATTAACTTTTTGAAGTATTTTGATTGTTTATGAATATATTTGTTTTAAAGATGCCTTGTATGATGTGGTTGATTCTTTTAATTTATTTAATTATATGTTTATCAATGGTTTAGTGAAAGAAGAAGAAAATGAGAAATTGTGTGTGTTTCGAGATGATAAGGATTGTCAATTTATTTTCAAGTATAAGCTAGATGAAGAAGATCAGCCTATTGTTCACGCCCAAAGAACTAAAGGTTAGTTTTCATTTATTTTTTTCAAGTTTTCTTTTCATTGTATTGTTCTATAATTAATAATATGTTCTATAATTTTTACCATGTTAGTAAAAGTATATCAATGCAATTTCATTCCATTCAAAACTATTTTCTTTTAATTTTAAGATTTTAAAATTCTGCATTGTTTACAATATTTTTGAATAAATATTGTTATTGTTTTATATTTATTTTTACAAAATTCTGAATTATACTTTGTAGTCATTGAATTTTTATTACATGATAATAGTTTTGTTCTATAAAAATGTTACAAATTAAATTAATTTACATTTGTTAATAATATATTAGTTTTTATAATTTCTCAAACCGAGGTCTAATATAAAATAAACATTTTAAACTGTTTTAATACTATTTAACTGTTCAATACTATTTATGGCTAGAAATATACCATTAGAGGAAATAAAAAATGATTAAATTATTGTGCAAAAAAGTTTACAACTTTAATATTTTATTTCACAGCATTTTTTAAAAATATTTTCAGCTTGCGTAGTTATAAGATATTTATTTGTTTCACTATTTAGATTGTCCTGAACCTGTTAACATACTCGCTATTGTACTTGGTGTGATTGGTGGAATTATAGCAATTGGTCTTGCACTTCTGCTGATTTGGAAACTATTGACAACAATTCATGATAGAAGGGAACTTGCCAAATTCGAAAAAGAAAGACAAATGGCTCGATGGGATACGGTAAATTACACTCTGTTTTCATTTGCTTATCATGAGAGGGCAAAAAACCTTATGTAAAAAAAAAAGCTTAAATTATGTTAACGGGAATTCAATTTTGGTTTTTATAGATCACTAGAAATTTATCCAACAATACATTTCGACTGATGTCAAAAAATTTCTGATTTTAAAAAGCCTTATCAGTTATGAGCCATTGATTCAAAGTATATAATACTAAAATCTAAACTGTAATTGCTCTTAACTGTAATTCTGCTATAATTCGTTTAAAATTGTTAAATGTTAATTTGAATTTCAAATGTAGGTCATTGCAAGTAAACTTTTTTTTTTTTTGCAAATTGCTTAAAATTATTTCTTAGATTTTAACCCTTCCTTGTGGGGCAGAGAAATTTAAACCAAAATTTTAGTCCAGCTGAACTAAAAGAACTTTGGTTATTAAATGCACATCTGCTTTCTTTTAATTTTTCAAAGTTTAAAGGGGTTGATTAAAACCAGCCGAGTTTAAAGATAAAAAACTATAACAATTTTAATAGTTTATATTGTCACAAGTAAGAGGGGCAGTTTTTTTTCTCCGACTGGTCCTTAAAGGACTAATCTTATCTAGACTACTAATTCAGATTCTTAATCAAATAGAAATAGTATTTTATTTTAAAGATGAAAGACAGAAAACCTAAGCCAATACAGCTCAAATTTTCTACTTCTGTAAAATATAACTCATTATACACTTAATATTATAGTTGAACTTTCATCAATTACGCACTTTCATTGCCAAACTAATTAAGTATTTACAAAAATTCCTGTTAAAAATTCTGTCAATTATTGAATGTATTATTCATTGAGTAACTTAAAGAAAAACAGATTTGTGGGGCAGAAAATAATAGATAATTCTAATCAAAACTAACTTCAGAATTAGCACGTTTACAGAATTAATTGTTAGTTTTATGACTGTTATCAAATATTTCCTAGTGTGTTTAATTAATTGTGATGTTTTTTAATCAGGGTGAAAATCCAATTTATAAACAAGCAACTTCAACATTCAAGAATCCTATGTACAGTGGAAAACAGTGATTTATAAATTTTTTTAATGAGTGTGTTTGGTGCTACAAAAAGGCAGTCATTTGCATTTGTGACTTTTAAATGATGGATCTATTTTTGCTACTTGATGCATCTGTTGTCTAAAAGGCAGTTTTCTTCATTAAAAAATATGATCTGTTAGCATCATGCAAGAAGGAAATCTATGAATTTATCCGTCATACTTAAACTTTTAGATTTGTTAGCTTGTTCTGACATTACCTGTAAAATTTTCATTTGTATGTGCCAATTGTTTGTGTGTAGATTTATAATTAATGTTATAGTATGTTAGATCTGTTTTCTCTACTATATTTATTAATCTATTTTCTTAACTTGCAATATCTTAAATGTTGTATTTTGGGTTGTATTTATACTAATGTTTATTTTAAAGCTTTTATTGTCACTGCTGCTTTATTCTTACTTTAGGGACTGTTTATACTACAATGATTCACCTATATTCGACATTTAAATCAGTTTTAACTATTTGGAGTACATAAGCTATTAATCATGCAAACAGTTAAATGTTCTTAAAATTTAAATGATATGTGATGAATTCCTTAATTTTACTACTCTTTCAAGTAATGTATGTGTGTGTTTAAACAGGGTAACTTATCAATCTCAATCATATAAAAAGTTTATTTTTTTAATATTTCGTGTTTTCTTTTAACATTATTTCTACAGTCTACATTTCTTATAACAACACCGATATGTGTTCTTAAATTTTGTATGTTTCCATCAGTTATAATATTAGGCTCTTAACTACTTTTTTCTTACTTAGTAATATAGTTTTTAAATTTATGAAATATGAAATTTATTCACAAATACGATATATTACTATCAGTTTTGAACTTTCATAGATGACATAAAGTATGAAATAATTGATATACAAATGTGACATAATTCAAACTTTTTTCTTTTAAATTTTGTTAGTTCACTTTTTTTTCTGATATGTGTGTCCCAGTAACATTATTGAAATAATTGGTACACTTGCTGGCTAATTATATCACTAATAATTTAGAAAGAGTTAAATATAATCTAACTATTGTTATATAATGAATCTCGTTTTTGTCGTTTTGAAAAATGTTTCATAATGTGTTTAATTGTTGCTTTTTTTTTTTAATCAGATAAAAATCTAATTTATAAACAAGTAATTTCATAATATATAGTGTTTTAGAAGTGCCATTTTTAAGTGCAGACTTTAAATTTTTTTTAAAAATTGTTTTAATTTAAATATGCATACAATCCCTACTTTCATGATTATTTCAACATTGTTTATTTTTTTCTTTTATCATGTCAAATTTATTTAATTTGGCTTTGTTTATTTCATTTGGCACCATTTTCACTGAATATTTATTATCAACTAAATATTTGATAGCATATGTGAGTTACCACAATGGAACATAATAGTTTTATTTTTAATACTTTATTTTATTTTAGTGAACTATTTAGATTTTGGACTTTTTTTCAAGTAATAATATTCGGGCTTGAATTTTTACATTTTAAGGATATTTTTATGTGATTATTTTATGTGTATAATGAGCTTCTGATTTTTATTCTAACGGATGAACAGTGTATCCAAATTTCTTTCTTTTATTGTCTTAGATCTGATACTCACTGTGCATTTGTCGTACTTACATTTCTCTCCTCTTATTGTTAAACGTGCCATAATTTTCTTTGATACTTTTTTGACATAGTTTTCGAAAATGTCAACTTCATTACTTTTTAAATGATATTGATTATAAAATAAACTAACTGTTCAAGATAATATATCATATAGATTTTTTTAATGAACTGACTTTATAGGGCATTTAATCTCATCTGCTATATTTTTATATAACAATTTATATAAATTTAATAAAAGCAATATTATATTCCATTGCTTATAATAAAGTTGACAATGTTGAATTTTTTCAACTGACTGCAGATATTTAAAACGTTTTAGTACACTATGACTAAAAAAAAAAAAATTCATTAACATTTTTAAATAACATTAAATTAAACATTTTCTTCACTGTATGTTTTAAATATATATATACTCAGAGATACTTGTTGGATTTTAATATCTTAGTGACCTTACTGCTAATGTTTACCAATGTATAACTCTAAACTGAGCTTTAAAATACATCAGAAGTGCTATTAGCAAATGTTGAGTTTATTTTAAATTCTATACATATTCAAAACATGTTAAATACATTTTTTTTTTTAATGTACTTATTTTTTTTATATATAAAAAATTGGAATGTACTTATACAAAATAATATTTATCAGTAATGATAATATTCCTGCACTACACTTTTGGAAAAGCTATCAATATTTTGCTTGTCATTTTTTAAAAATTTATTTTGGAATGGAATTATGTTAATGTTATGATAAATATTAAATTTTTGATCTGATATGTTCTCATTAAGTGTTTTAAAACTTTCAAATATAGATTGGTTCATTTATTATTTTTTACTAGTTTGTGATATATGAAAAAGAATCTCACTTTATTGTTCAATGTTAGTTTCATTTCTATTTTAAAAAACATTAATAATGACAGCTTATTTCATTACATGTTGAAAATACTATTTTTGAATGGTATTTGACATCCTACATGAACTCGCTTAAGTTTTTTTCTGATATATTTAGAAATCAAATCTTATTTTACTATATTAAGAAAAGAATTGTGGTTGTTAATTTGATACTTTAACTTTTTTTGTTCATATAACAATGGCATGAATATTTTACTATTTTCCAACAAAATCTCTTATAAGTTTTTTTTTTTTTACTTTAGTGTTTTGTAAACAATGATATTTTTCAAATATGTATAAATTTAAATTTGATCTGTTTAGTGAATATTTATAATTTTCAGATTACTTAGATGGCAGCTGTTAATCTTATTTACAAAAATTGTATTTATTAACTAGATCTTGAAATAAAAGTTTTTAAAATACAAGAAACAGTTGTCATGATTACAAAAAATTTCATTGTGTAGAGTAAAATAAGACAAAGTTTCATAAAGTTTTAAATTTGCAAAAAGGTCAAAATCCAATAAACCTTAAACATTCTTTTAATTACGAGAAATAATTCATGATTGTGTAACATTTTTAATGGGATAGGAAAATGTTGTGTACTGTTCTTTTTGGTTATATATTTAATTTCTTTTTTAAACTGCCGCCTAATAATAAAAATAGATTAGTAATTTAGAAAACAATGTATTTTTAAAGGGGAAAAAGTAAATCGATAAACAGAAATATGATTTATGGAATTGTAAAAATCGTTTTCCAAAGTGAAATTTCAATTCTTCACTAAATTTCAGAAAAAAGAAACCATATACTTTGTCATGAAAGTATCAACAAAAAGCTCGACTACTACATCTTTGTTATTATTTATATAAATAATTTGCAACAAAAAAAAAGAACGTTTTTAATTGAGTATGCTTTTTAAACATTTTAGTTTTTGAATATCACTAAATGAAGGTTTCACTTCCGTATTCTACAACATGTAAGTTGCCAGTAGCCAAAACCTCTATTTTGATCTGCAACACTATGGAAAAAGATCTGTCAAAGTATGCAATGAGATGTTTCTGTTCATTTGTTCCATTAAGTGGAATTGCAAGTTTTAAAAAGATATATCTAATTCTAAAATACTTGTTATATAAAACAGAATCTAATATATATATATATCACGTCCTCATAGATGAAATTTGTTGGGAAAAAATGACTTTAGTTAGTTGATAGCTTACTAATATAAAATGTAAGGAATTATTTTATTCATCAAAATATTTACCCATATTGTCTGTCTGTTAGCCATTCAAATGACGGGTTGTTCAGGCTGGTATTGTAAAACACTAGCGGAAAACTTTCAATGAATTCTTAGAATGCCAGTTTTACTGCATAGTCCGAATTAAATTGTTCTCCTAAAAAAAGTTGTCTAAATTGAGAAAGAAGTAATAGTTATTGGGAGCTAGGTTAGGTGAATATGGAGAACGATGAATTTCTAATTTCTTTAGTTTTTATACAATTGTTTGTGCAGTTGGTGATCTAGCATTCTGTAGGAGTTGATCAGTTGACTTATCTAGGCTGTTTTTCTTTTGCACCATTTCGTCACAGTATATTTTATCTGTAATTAATGAGCCAGATTTCATGAAATCATAATACATATACCGTTTTTGTGCTATACCACCAAAGCTTCTTTTAATGAAGCGAGTTTTCAGCGATTCTGCCTTTGTGCTATATCATGTCAAATATACTAAAAATTGTAGAAGGGAATAAAAAAATAAATGATTACATGTACCAGGGGATGCCTAACTTGCTAGTACTAACAAAAAATAGCGTGTAAGCAAAATTATAACTTCAAGTATATAAAAAAATTCTTCATTCAAAGATAATTATAATATCATATTGCATTATTGGTTTTCCTTGATGCACGTGTGCAATAACTCATAATTAAAATCTTTGATTCTTCAAACAGAATTTTTTCTTGCTTTGAAATTTTTTGTTTTGTTTATCAATAGATAAAATATTAAGACTTATTTATGAATATTAAAGATGTGGGAAACTTATATTCTAATTAGGGACCTGCTTTTTGTTAAAGGCACCCAAACAAAATTTGAGTCTTGGGTTCTAAGAAACCGTAGTTTTCAAAGTTTGGTGTTTTTGGTAATTCATCCTTGTCCAATCTGAATGTTTCGTTCTTATACTGAACATAGGTAATTATCATGTTGGATTCGTTAATCCTCACAAGTCTAATTTAGGATAAAAACCCACCAGACTTGGACAGAAAAAAAACTCTCTGTGAACACAAAATCTCAACTAAAAAGCTTTCCGCATGCATTTATTAATTCTTGTAAGTAATTACAACTCTTTCGTCGCTACCATATTTTGACGAAATTTGTTTGTAAATCACCACAGGGATGAGTTTGGTAAAAAAGCTGAAAATATAAATCCAAAAATGTCATGTGCAAAAACACTTTTTAAATAACTGAAAAAATATCTAAAATTTAAACAAGAAAAAACTATGTAGGAGGAATTTATCCACAGAATGTTATCAGCATTTTAATAAAAACATTGATGCAAGATTTTATTTATTTATTTAAATTGTGTAAATATGAATATGTGCAATTTTTAAATCACGCAAATACGAATCTAGACATTTAATTCTAAAATCGCGTAACTACGAATCTCGATGTTTGATATTAAAACCACATTAATATGAATCTTGATTTTAAAACCTTGTGAATACATATCTCGCTATTTAATTCTATAATCGCAAGAATACTAACTTTGATATTTGACTCTAAAATCGGGTGAATACAAATCTCGATTTTTTGAATTTAAGACTGCGTCAATGCGAATCTCGAAGTTTGATTTTAAGAATCACATGAATACGAATCTCTATATTTGATTTTAAAATCACGTGAATGCGAATTTCGAAGATTGATTTTAAAATTGTATAATGTTTAAGTCACTTGAACACAAATCATAATAGAGGCTTTTAAATCACGTGAATACGAAACGCGATCTAAGATATGAAAATACGAAACGCAATCCTACTGACCCTCAGCCTAAATATATTGTGTAATTTTTCAACATGTACTTGCTTATATTATTTTGGTCTGAAGAAATAAAAATTTGGTTATTACCAAAGAAAAAAAATTTCAATCAATGATCAGAACATGTAATTTTAATGCCTTGTTTCTTCCTTCTTAAATTTTGTCTGTAAAAACGGAATGATTTCGGGTCTCCCTGATTTTCTTTTTTCTGGGAAATTTTTTTTTTGAAGTTTTTTTTTTGCAGCCCAAGGGAAGTCTTTAAAAGGTAATATTTTATTGTACTTAACATGTGTCTCTCTGTAAGGCACTAATTTAAAAGTTCCCAAGACTATTTTTGTTCCATTACTTTACGATTAGAATGCCCTAGAGAAACAAATATGTACGGTATTCAAAATTAAAGATGAAAAAAGGATACTACCAGAAATTTATCTTCTAATCTATTTAAAATATTACTGCTGTGTTTTACATAGTTATATGCACTTCAAGGTAAATTTTATGTTAAAAACATTTCTAATGCTATTTTAATTAGGAATGTTCAATTGGAATTTGAGATAATTTTGCAAGCCGAAAAAATTTGACTCAAAATTTAGTTAATTGAAAGTTAGGTCTAACAAGTTATTGATCTCCAGAAAAATTATTTATACTAATATTTGTAAGTATGAGAACTATTTTACAAATAACAGGGGTCTGTTTAGAAGAAATTTGGGTCCATCAACGGACCCTTCACAAAATATCTTTTCATAAAAACGGACCCTTCACAAAATATTTTAACTTAAAAACGGACCCTTCACAAAATTTATCTTTTAATCGGACCCTTCACAAATTTGTTTTTCTTCATTATTGTTTTGTTAATCAAATAAACCCTTCCCACGAAGGGGGGGGGGAGAAAGAAAGATGTAAACGAACTAAATTTTGTCTTCGACGGACACTTCTTCCTTTATTGGTCCGAAATGAATATTCTGCGTTCAGCAGTATAGGTTAAATACCAAATATTTATATGTTGCATCGCTAATTTAGTAGCTGCAATTGCTGTTTATTTTTTTAAATTAAATTTTTTTAATTATAATTTTACAGTGTTGAGCATTATCTTGTATGCCTTTACAATTTAAAAACTCCTTGAAAAAGTTTTTTTTTGCAATAACGGACCCTAATTGCACAAATTCACAAAAGCGGATCCTGGTTGAAAGAATGTGACTTAACGTTTATTTTATATTCACAAATTACAAGTAATTTTTTCACAATTTAACAAAAACGGACCTTTCACAAAATGTCTGGACAGACCCCTGAATAATTATTACAAAATTAATTAAAAAGATAATGCAAATATAACATGTTTTTCTTGGGATTCAGTAAAACTTCTTATAGAATACAAGTCAGAATCAAGCTATCGACAGGTGTGTAACATTTTAATTATTCTCTCCACAGCTGATTTTAACAATCATGTACAAATGAACAGAATAACTTAAATTTTTAAATGGTAACAATGCTCTTATGATACATCCTTTCTCCTTCAGATAATATATAACACATGAAAAACTTGTTTAAAATAAAACTCAAAAAAGGGTAAAAGCAAACTATAGAACTAATGTACAATCACTTTTGTTTTAATATTTTATTACTCCAAAAGCAAAAAATTTCAACTTTGTATGCTGAAAATAATATTGAACATGGGTAGTACATATTTTGTGTTAATGGATTTGCTCGAGTATTACACTGTTATTATAAAACATTTATTTTTAACTAATAAACAATTTTTAATGAACTTAAAGTTCTAGAAGCTGTAAATTTAAACTTCATAGTTTCAAGAATTTAAATATTTCCTTTTTTCTTAATTAACAAGTAAATTTGTATAAAATAGAAATAATGATGCTCAGATCGAAATTTCTACTTCATTCCTTTAATCTGAGCTCATTGTGTTAAGGGATTTTTCTCTTTGATTATTTCATAGGTAGAGGAAATATAAAAATATTTCCCTAAATGATGATGAAACATGAGATTTTTTCTAAGGGGAATAGAATGCAGGTTGAAATGAAAGTTTCATGTCGATACGAGACCATTTCAAAACATTAAAAAATTTAAGCTATGATATGAAAGAATTGTGTAATGAAATATTTCATAGTTTAGTTTCACTAAATCTCTTAAATTTGTGGAAGCAAATAATGTGATTTTTTATGTTTGAAACTAGCAAAGCAAATATAGTTAAGTAATTCTAAAAAGAAATAAATTCTTTTATTTCTTTTTAAATATTAATAAAAAAGCAAAAATCTTATTTCCTTAAATTTGGCTATCACATAAAGATCTTATAACTGAAAAAAGTTGTAAAAATTCATAAAAGTAGTCTAAAAAATTCTATTAAACTATTATTTAAATGAATTAAGTAAAAAACAAGATAAAATTAGCTAAAAGCTGTTTAATTTTATTAAGAAATATACAAATTTATATCATTAAACTTGAGTTAAATTATAAATTGAAAAAATTAATCAAATAAATACATATAGAAATTGGCAGTATAAAGAACATGTTTAATTCAAAACACAAGTTAAATTAAAAGTCATTTAATTAGATACATATTTTGTAGACATAAAACACTATCAAAATATTTTTGACAAACTAAAAAAAAATATTAAAATAAAGCCTTAACTGAGGAAAAAATGCAACCAAATAAAAAATAAAACTTTCTTATCAACATGAATGGGGAACTATGTTACAAAATCACTCTCATGCATAAGTCATACAATTTGATAATTTTGTTGAAGAAATCAACTCTATGTGTCTATTATATTCTTCTAAAGTGTTGTTGAACTCTTCGCAAATGTCTTTAAAATGTTCACTTTTACCAGAACTAATAACATCAAGTAAAATATCAATATATGTATGAGGTAACCAAACAGCAGGAGATGTAACATGTAAAGAAAATTTCATATTAAAATCCTCTCTTCTTACACCAAGTACAGCTTTTATATATTTAGTCAAAAGAATGACAGATTCTTCAAGAAAACCGTATGTAATATATAAAGCCAACATCTCAGTAAAGTTGAGTTTCTGATACGACAACTTTAGCCAGGCTGGTACAGTTGCGCCATTAGCAAGAAGTTTTTCAGTAACACATCTATGAAGCTCAGTTTTACCATCCAATTCATTTTCTAAAAGATACTGTTGCAAATCGTCCCAAATGTGCTGTTGAACTTTAATCCGTTGAGACAAAACCTCAACATTGGTTGAAGAAGCTTTACTAAAAATATCTTTTCCAAATTCGTCATTATTGTATGTATCTGATTGTAACATGGAGCTGATACACCTATAAGTTAAAGCTTCGAACACAGGAACCAGCGAAAGCGAAAAAGATTTGGACAAGAGAATAGCCTGTTCAAAAAGACAACCATCTAAAAGTAATGCCACCGTGTCTTCAGCAGTCAATGGAGTTATTGCAAAACTTGAACAGGCTCCATACTTTCGAACATAGGTGAGACGAGCTTGAACTAAGTTATATTCTCTTACAATATCTGGAAGACCTAACACCTCAACTTTAACAGGACGAGTAGACTGTAATACTTCACATCCCTCAGAATTTCTTTTAGGAGAACTTCTGGGATCTTCATCAAAAATGTCGACATTAATAGCTGGCTTTACAATCCAAGCATACTGAGGCTCAGCTAAATGCAGACAGTTAATGACTGCTAAATAGCATGATACTTGCTTTTTCAATCCTTTTAAGCTTACAACTTCTCTGCTATATCTCATAGCTAATTCATACATAACAGTTGCTGCTTTTCTGAACTTATGATTGTCAATATGCAAAGCATACAATACACCATAAAATGATGTATTATGGCAGAGATCTGAACACCTTGCTCTTGATTCCAATATAGAAACTATCTCTTCTTCATAAGACAACTCAATTATTTTTTGAAACTGTTTCGTTTCACAAAGCCGCACCACTAACTGTCGTAAGCAATCTTTACGCCTCGAAGGATCTGGATTATTAATGAGGGTAACAAATGCTTCTTCAGTTCGATTTAGATTCAAATTGTGTTTAAAGAGTATAGAGTAAAATATAGGAATGTTAGGATCATTCTTGCTAATTTCATTAACAGCTGTACCAGTAAAATTTACTATACACTCGGATAAAGAAAACTGCTCTAACATTCGAACTACTCGCATGCAAACTTGGCTCGTAACAGAAGATGCTGAGCTGTAATTCCTTTTAATCCATTTATTGCAGAAATATGTATCATCCTCTATTTTCTTTGAAACTTCAAAGAATATTTTCAAAGCTTTTTGGGAGTCCCCTAATATTAAACAGCTAGTTGCAACAAGAAAGTTTAAAAACTGTTTGTTTAATGGTGACCAAACTTGCAGAAGACTATCATACTCTAGCAGCGGGATATATTGACATCGTGTGAATAAAAATTCTGGAAATGCCACATTTCTGTCACCGGGCCAAAGAAGATTAGCTGCAGAAATCACAAGGGAAGGAAACAGGTACTTCCACCCATCTTCAAAATACAGAGGAGATAGTCTAGATTCCATGAGTTTTCTAACTGTAACACCTCCTTCTTCTTGAAAAAATAAATAACAGACTGTTTGTCCCGATTTAATATTTTTCAAGTCAGCATCGATAAATTCTGGCAATTCTAAGACACAGAACTGTTTGAAAGCTGCATCCTGAATCGAAGCAGATACGGGTGAACACTCACTTACAGTAGACCACCAAACAATATAATAAGACCGTAAGAGATTTTCAATGGTAGGTACAATTTGATACTTCATGGCATCCCCATCTAAATGTTCACAATCTAAGTTATCTGATCTCCAAAGCGCAATGGTAAAGAGAAGCATATTTCTACAGAAGTCAAAACGCTGTTTGGCAAAATGAGATAAGCCAGCACAAAGAGCACCAATTCCATAAGTGCTACCAGCAAAAGTAGAAAATTGCGTAGCATCTGATAACTCACCTATCTCTGATGAAAGGTCCAATTTTTTTAACAAGAATTGGAGACAAAGCACTGCATCAATACCAGAAGGTACCAATGATTGCAAATCTTGACAAAGTCTACTATCATGTTCCAAGTCTAAAGATTCACAAATTTCTAATGCGTACTGTAATGTCGACTCCAATGCAATCTTTCGATCATTGAACCGCTGGAGCTGTTTAGGATCAAAATTTTCTTCCACTAAATCTATACCACTTAAGACACTCATTAATGCTGAATATATTCTTTTATCATCTTCTTCTAACAAGTCCATAAAATAAGAAGATGATCTTAAACTTGGAATCATGAGTATATCTAGTGAGTCACAAGGACAAAGTAAAGAGAAGAAATTTTTCTTGACAATAACCACAGAGCCAGTTTTAGGGTCAAGTGATATACCCAATGGTTTCATGCCTACTTCGTGATATTGAATACAGTAAGAAAAGAAACGAGACCAACTATCTTTAGATATCTTTACAAATATTTCATCACCAATCTCAGTTTCACCAGCAATCATCATTATTTCAGACATAACAGTTTCAATAACTTGCTTCTTCAACTCTTCAGATTTTCTAAAAGTGTGCATTGATTCATTAAGATTTCTAGAAGAGCTAAATATAGAAATAGCTTTGCTGATGGTAGATGGCAAAAATCTTCCAACTTTAAATATTTCTTTCAAATATTGATCTTGAATATTCAAAGAGCCACAATCAACCTGGCTTGAAACTCTAGGTTCAAGACTTACTGGTAACCAGCTCAATCTATGCTCTGATTTATTTTCACTGTCAAAAAGTGCAGTTAATACTATAGGTTGATTTTCACAGCTAAGCCACAAGGTCCATATGCATTTTTCTCCAATGCAAAAATCTACTAAATCGTGATTGGTTTGATGTAAAATTGTGACTAAGGACAACTTACAACGATCGTTATCAAATATTGGTTGAAAAACATAAAATATTTTTTGATGAGGAATTGGAACATAGACGCCTAAATAGAAGTTTCCTCTTATGTTGGCGGCAGATTTTCTTAGATGGCACTGATGGGCTGTAAAATTTCCAGCTAAAACTTTATTATCACTACCATAATTCAAAATTGAATCAGCTAAAATGCAATCTTGTTTTTTATTAGACCAAATTCGTATTTGCAGATCACTAAATAGGGAAAATATCAAGACATCAGACATATCTTTATTATCGTGGCAAACTATACTCAATGCAACTTCAGTTTTATTGTTTCGCATAACAGTAGGCACTAGGCCGTTAATCCATCGAGAGATAGATCCTGTCTTCATCAATTCAGTAGTGGTGATTTCAACTTCTTGTTTATTAGACATAACAACCATTAAAACAGATCCTGCACTGTTAGCCAAAATGAAAGTTGCGCTACCATTTGAATTAAGCCATGAGCAAGATGTATGAGGCAATGGAATTCCGATGGACACATTATTTAAAACAAAGTTACAACTTCTATTTCGCAATGCAAGACTCGTAGTATCAAAAAATATGGATGGTGATAGATAATATTTCGAATTCGTTAAAAAGTTATCACTCTCTAATGATTTGGGATGAGGAAATACAAGTTTATGAATAGCACTGACTGTAGCAACCAATAACACAACATGATCATTGTGCTCATGGATACTAGTTCCTCGTAAAATCGGGGTGTTTTGAAATCTTAGACGCAATCGATTGCTTTGTAAATTAACGTCGAGAGATACTTCGACAAGCTCAATAACATCATGATTGGTGCGCCAATAAATAAACCTGTTGCTACAGATAGATGTTAAATCTCGACTGTCTTGATAGGTAAAACATCCAGCTACTTCAGGTAATTTTATGTCTTGCAAGGTACTTTGAGAAGCACCGGCGTTAATTGTAATATCATTCCATTGTTCATCAATATCTGCATAAGGTGTAACTTCTCTGAACGCAAGCGAGCACATTTTGATGAATGATTGGTCTTTCTTTCATATGGATTAAACGTAACGCTTAATATTCAATGTTCATTATTAAATATTAATTTATAAATACCGTTGGCGGGTTTAACAAACACACCAAAATCAAGCATTTAACTAATATGAATAAAGTTACAGTTAATAAACAAAAAAATAAATATGTCACTGGAAGGAAAATAAAAAATTATTTCAGCACTAGATGTCACTACTAAAAATTGTCACGTGATACTACCCTAAACATTGTCTGCATAATGCTTCTAAATGAAAAAAAAGTATAACTTGTTACTACATAATACATTCCTTAATTTCCACAAACCATTAGAAATCATTGATATGCAGCAAAACTTTCTCTCAAAAAAAATGTCCAATCTTGAAATATTACCAGGTTAGAAAAAGTTTTCTGTTTCATCCAAATTAAATTGAACAACAAATCTCTTCGATCAACTACTAGAAAAATGTGGTAGTATTTATGTAATAATATTAGAAAAACTAAAATAAATTTCATGTCTCATGTGTAATTTACCGGGAAAGAAATTAAAACGAAATGCTGTGAAAACAAAATAAACAAAACAAAAGTAATACAATACATCGAAATAGAGAAGCAGCCCGGTTTCTCCCATCACTTATCGTTTACTGGGGGCAATGCCGGATTTACGTATCAGCTAAATAAGCTGTAGCTTGGGGCCCCGAGATGATAAGGGCCCCCAAATCCTTCTTTTTCCCCTTCTTTTTTTAAAGTTTTATTCGGAACTGAGGCCCTCTGAAGCCCAAAATGCATTTTTTTTTCTTTTTTACATTGTCGGACGCTTGTCGGAAAGCAAATTTCATTTCGGTTAAAATCCTCAATATTATAATGTAGTAAAAAAGGTATACAAATTAACTGTCGCAAACAAATTAATATTAAGTACGAACGAAAGAAAAATGATATTGAAAAATGTTGAATCGCTTATGAGACAGGCGGGATGAAAGACATCGAAACCTATTTGATTGAACAGTAAAACTAGAAGATGTTTCTAAAATTGTGAAATCTATCAGGCTTTAATTTTTTTTCTGTCACAAAATTTATCAGTAATTAAAAATAATAAATTCGTTAGATTTCAGTATTGGTTCTGTTTCTTCATTGATTAAATATTAAACATATTTGTCTTTTGAAACATTTCATTCCATAATAAAATAATTGTTCTACAATTGTAATTATCTAAAGATAATTGATTGTGTAACATTGCTATGTTGAATGCTCGCTTTGGCTAGATGCCCGAAACCCGTATCATATTTATTCTCGCTGATATTTAATAGACCCTTCAATCAGGGTTCAGAAGAAATTTGGGTCCGTTAACGGACCCTTCACAAAATATCTTTTCATAAAAACGGACCGTTCACAAAATATTTTAACTTAAAAACGGACCCTTCACAAAATGTTTTAACTTGAAAACGGACCCTTCACAAAATAATTTATCTTTTAATCGGACCCTTCACGAATTTGTTTATCTTCATTATTGTTTTGTTAATCGAATAAACCCTTCCCAGGGGGGGGGGGGGGAGAGAGAGAAAGACAGATGTAATCGAACTAAATTTTGTCTTCGGCAGACGCTTCTTCCTTTATTCATCCGAAATTAATATTCTGCGTTCAGCAGTATAGACTAAATACCAAATATTTATATGTTGAATCGCTAATTTAGTAGCTGCAATTGCTGTTTATTTTTTAAAATTTAATTTCTTTAACTATAATTCTACAGTGTTGAGCATAATCTTGTATGTCTTTACAATTTAAAAACTCCTTGAAAAAGTTTTTTTTCAATAACGGACCGTATTTGCCCAAATTCACAAAAGCGGACCCTGGTTGAAAGAATGTGACTTAACGTTTATTTTATATTCGCAAATTACGAGCAATTTTTTCACAATTTTACAAAAACGGGCCTTTCGCAAAATGTCTGGACAGACCCCTGCTTTAATGCATCCTTAAAAATATAAGCCAAAAATTTACATAAATAATGACAATTTTTATTCCTGCACTAAAATTTAACAAATGTACTTAAAACAATTAAAAAGAAAGCAAAAATAATGAAGAAATATTTTTTATAAAAGCATCAATTAAATAATATCAGCTTACGAAATGTTATTTTTATTTTTGCAAACTGTATTAATATAACGACCCTCACCTGCTTTAGGGTGTAGGGACTGCTGGATTAGGTTCAAAATGACAAGACTACGGTGTTGAATATTAGTATTCGTAAACTTGAAATTGGGTCGGCTGTGCAATGACTGTTATGAAATAAACTAATAAATTTGGCCGGGATAGCCTGGTTGATAGGGCGTTGGACTCGTGTTCGTGAGAATGGGATTTTGAATCCAGAAAGCAGAAGAATACCCATGTGTAAAATTGTTACTGAAGCAAGTTAAATCTATCGAGGTTACAAAATCCTCCAAGTTCTCATAATAGATAAATACTTCTGGGTACTGATCCAGCAGTTCCCTTGTCTTATGGATTGGGTTCAAAATTACAAGGCTACGGTAGACGTAAACTCAAAATTGAGTCGGTTGTTTAACGGCGGTTATTTAAAAAAATAAAACTAATAATCAAATTGTATTTTCTTGTATTATTTTTAACTCTTTGCATATTTTCTTCACTGATTCAAAATTTCATACTTCTAAGATTTTGAGCAGCAAAGCAAAATGTAACGTAAAGAAAAAACAATTAAAAAAAAATTCGCAAAAAATCATTAAAAATTGCAAATAAAATACTATATTCAAAATGAATTTAAAAAAAAAAAAACTCTGTTAAATATATAGTGGCCCTTCCAGCACGCCAAATTTTTACTCTGTGCTTAAAATGCGTTTCTGTTGTAACTTTTTTTCCTCGTTCAAAAAATATGTGCAATAAAAGAAAGGTTCTACATTATAGTCTCATCACAATTAATATATTTAACAATCAAGTAATATTATCAAATTTTTTAATAATATTATGTTAACACTCAACAATAAAAAATAATGACAGTTTACTTTAGGTGTGCAGAAATGGAATTGAACTTATGAGGGCCCCATCATTTTCAGTAGCTTAGGGCCCCACCGAGCTTAAATCCGGCCCTGACTGGGGGTCACCCATGCCCCTATTATGTTGGTGAGGTGAACGTTTCTAAAGCATAGACATTTAAATAGAGTAGAATTTTTCCTCTTTAATTTGTTAGATGATAATGTTTCTTCGAGTTTTTTCATCATTTTATATATTTTTTCCGGTATTGTAATGAAATTCTGAGATAAGTGGATCGAAGAATGGCATGTTTATTAGAACACTACACAGAGAGTTACACATATGGAACTTACACTGGGACAGGAGAAATAGAAAAGAACATCAGAGAGCTATGAGCTATGAATATGTATCATCTCGGCATATTGGCGCGAAGCGCCACTCACCGATTCATCGGAATTGTGTTGGCATAAGTTGGGAAGGCATAATTAAATCAAACAATTTAGATAAAAGGAGAAGTTGGAGAAAACTCCATTGTCAAGATCAATTAATAACGAGTAATGCACATAATGACGAGCGCGAATAAATTGAATACAGTATAGTGGACTATTTACACAAATAATTATTTACATGTATATACAGGGTTAGAATATGAATATAATTAGTCGATATGTACATATTTAGTATACCTCTGTTATTATAGTGACCCGGCCGTCCCGGTTAGAACATCAGAGAAACAGAGTTACTTGTATTTATAGCTTTCTTGGGCTCAAACTTAACGTCCAATCAGCGAGCATTCTGACATCATGCGGACGTATCTGCTTCAAAAAAGATCGATTACAGTTTTTCCTCAACATTTTCTACATACTATTGCTTCAAATCCAGTTCAGAAAGTCCTCATACAGTGAATCTTTCAAATTTTCTCTCCACTGTCTCGAAATTTTCCCGGGGGTGATCTTTTTAATGTTACATTTATTATGAAGGGGATAAAGATGTCCAAAGTTGTTATACATGAACTGTTTCAGAAAAGAAAAAGATTCTGGGGTAATTTATCCCTCCCTCAAAAATTATAAAAAATCAATAAAATGTATCAAATTTTCTAGTTATTTCGCAATTGTTAACATATTTTCCAGATTTTTAAGCTTCTAACCCCTTTTTCTTCCCCCAAAGAATATATACCTTTCAGCGTTAATGTTGGTTAAAGATGAGGAAGTTTTCGTTCTGTAAGTTTTCCAAACTAGTTCTTGAGAGCTTTGGAAACTTTTCACCTTTTAAAAAATAAATAAAAAAAATGAGAAAACTCATTTTTTTTTAAAAATTTAATACCCTAAATGCTTCCAAATCATTCTACTTTATTTAATTGTTCATGCATTAGAGATTTTCGAAATATTCACCTTTCTACCCCATTAGAAGAAATTTAACTGTTTATGATAATAATTTTTCCCTCTTGGAGAGGTTACCCTCTCAGCTGCTTTCAGCCAAAAGTGTGGCTAAGTATTTTGTTATTAGAGATGTTGAGAAAAATAAAAGTGGGCTGAAGGCTGAAATATGCAGAAAATATTGTAAAAATTGCGAAAAGTCCAAAGAAACTATAATTTTAATTATCCAGCAAAATTTTTTTTAAAATTATTATTTACGGAGTAATACTTATCTTCCCTGTTCATTCTCGTTATATTTTAGAACTGTTCACCTAAAGAAATTTAACAGTGAAAACAATACTTTTTCCTTTCTCATAAAAAGAAGACGAAAACTGTTTTTACTGCTATAAAGTCATTGAAAAGTGATTAACATAAGGAGGGATTTCCACTGAAAACTGTAGGTGATAGAGGTAAACTGGGATATTATTCGGATATAGGGGATGCTTTCAAGTAAAAATAAACAGGAATGATGTTAATTGAAACCACTGTGCATATCAAGAATATTAGAAGTTTATGGGTGGAGATAAGAATATTTTACTATTATGTGTCTTGCTCGTTACAATTTCAGAACATAATTAATAAAATAGCTATTAATGATAACCGGGGTGGATCAATTTCTTTTTCCCTTTTCAAAAACTGAATAGTACGCCATCCTGCAGGGACACAAGACAAAATCAGCTGATAAGGGCAGATTTTTCATTTGAAAAAACATATAAAATATATTTGGAAAAAAAAGTTTGTTCTATATTTATTTTTGTTACATGAGTCATATATTAGTTCCATCAAAGGATCTCTAACCCATATAGAGAGCTAGCAAAACTGTGCTGGCTGATTAAATATTAACCCAAAATGTAAAAATTATAGTTTGTTCATCTTAAACTCGACTATAAGTGAACGTTTTCGTTTCTTAGCTATAAAATAATTTCCGAAAAAGTAGCAATTGATTCATTACAAATATAAATATAGATTGAATAAGATTATTCAATCCATATTTATATTTGTAATAGATTAATTATATGTATTTACTAGGCTGCAATGGAGAACGACGTATGCCAATCACATAATTTCTCCTTCCATCCCAAAGACAGTAAACAAGGTAAACCTAATTTAGCGTTTACTTCACATAAATTGAATAGTATGAACAATTAAATAGTTCTACAGGAGTAACTCAGACTTTTTTTAAAAATGCGTAGGCATGAGGAATCTAAACTAGTTTTCAAATAAGACGAAGCATAAATACACTGTAATCCAGTGATAGTAGCTGGCACAAATAAAATAAAGTTGAAGTTATAAATTGGCCAGATTTTTTCCCAGATCTAATTCCAATGGAAACTTTTTAAGGGTTCGTAGCATAAAAATATGCGAAGCGTCTTCAAAGCATTAAAATGACACTGTTCCGCGAGAGCAGTTTCTCATCGCAACATCCCATTTCACCTCCATAACTACGTTAAAATTTAAAGGTAAACCTAGAGTAAGCCATAAAAATTCAATTGCTGAAAAAAAAATGCAAACAAATTATTCGAAGAAAACTTTCCCATTGCGTAATCCTAAGTTATCGTCTCATCACTTCTTTTCAGTATTTAAAATGTAATGGCCTACTTCACGTTTGTCCGAACTAATTTGAATTTCAAATTACTTATGGAGGTGAAAGAGAATTTGCAATGAAAAGTTTCTCCTGCGGTATAGTGTCTTCTTAGTAAGAATAGATTGCAACTTCGCAATACTGATCGAATGCTTGGAATGAAAAATCCTTGGTTCTTTCTCGCAATTTTTAACATTGGTTCCTCGATATTTTGATATCTCGAGCTAGCTTTCTAACAGATCTTTTCCGTTTAACCGTATCATTTCCCTGACCCTTTTCATTGTAGCTTTTATCCGAACAGACCACTGTCTATCTGATCCTCCTCTGCCATTGACTGAGGGCAGATTATTATACCATCTGATAGTTCTGTACATGAAATCTTTCGTTATCTCAGGGCTGTCAAGTTTCTGAAAATTGCCCAGTTACTCTCATTTGCTGAATTCACTTATCATAATTTCTTTAATTTTTTTTCATTCTATCTAAATAAAGAAAAATAATGAGTAGTGCAAAATAAAGCTTGCAATTGCTTATACAGGGTGCCCCAGAATGCCGTGTGCAAACTTAGAAAAGAGGTAAAGAACATCGTTATAATTACATAGGAGAGCATAGGCGGAAATAAACAGGTGATGATCTACGCAAGCTCTCATAGTTGACTCACGTATCTTCATCATTGCATATACCGATTGCCAGAGCTCAACAGGAACAGTTTTACAAACACCGGGCTGGCGGAAATCCATTTCATCTACGAACTAGCCAACGGAAATATACGCGCTGCTGCTCGGTTGTATAGGGAAAGATATCCAACGAGACGCCAACCATCATCAAATAATCGCTCGGGTTCATCAAAGTTTTGCGGAATGTGGATTCTTCACACTGAAGGTGCTTGGCGGATGCGAACAATAGGAAAATCCATATTCGAAAAAGGTCTGTTGCCGAAATCCTGGTACCTGTGAATGAATGCTTGCCGTTGGCACCGTCGATCAATTGTCAATCGCGTACAGCAGGGTTAGGCCTTACATCCTTTTCGTGTTACGTCAGTGGTTACGTCCCTTCTTTATTGTGGCTTATTAAATTTGGAAAAATATTCCTTCTTATGCAGGTGACAATATTGATCTCTTATTAATCTTAAAGTTCTTAATCTGACGCAGAAAACCATTCGGTATAAAACTATCATCAAATTAGAGAAAAAATTATTTACAAGTAAATTTTTTATTTTAAAATCATGACTTTTACCTGCTTTCTAAGTCCCCCAAAAAAGATGTTCTTCATTTTAAAAAAAAATTCTAAAATAAAACATACATAGATTATCACTTCATAACTTTGAGATGACATACCTTAATATAAAATTTTACAATTGTACAACAATTTTACAATTGTTGGTCTCAATGTGAATTTCAATATGTAACTTAAAAACAGAATAGTTGAATTCTAGTTGAAATAGATAATTCTCGAAATTAAAAAAATACTTACCGAGAAAAAGTTCATTAATAATCAACGCAAATGTGCTATTTCAACTAAATATAATAATCCTTTTCTGTTGTTTTCCGAAATTTATATATTTAGAAATATATACTATTTCATAAAGAAAAAGAATGTTCAAGAACTGTTTCAGTTCTGCACGTTCTTAAACCACATTTATTCGTAGAAATGAAGTAGACAAGGGACTTTCTTTATTTTAATTTACAATGAATTGAACATTCAAAATTTTATTTTACCATAATAAATATCCGTGATAGTATGCGATCATAAATCGAAAGTTTTCAGCTCACCGAAGCGATGTTGGAAGTTCGTAAGGAAAACAGTTACGATAGAAATGCTCCTGAAATGTTTGCGTCCTGTTTCAAAAAGATTTATCGATGTTCTAGATCACTTTGTCAAGTTCTTCAGCTTTTTACTATTGTTTCACTTCAGCTTTTAGAAATTTTGCTTTCGATTTGCTGGTGGGTGGAAAAAACATGCCCTGCCTATGCACTTATTCTGGTGGAACTGAATAGAAACTTAATAAATAGTAGCCGGGAGCAGAACTCTCTACATATGGTAACACTTCACATATGCTTTCACCGTTAATGTGTGGAGAGTCATAAAACTTTGAAGTTAGGAAACTATATGGAACTTAAAACTACTTTAAACATAGTTTTAAAAGAAAAAAAATTGCGGAAATTAAAAAAAATATTTTTGAAAGGTAAATGCTAAAAATATTAAGAAAAGGGAAAACGTAGTACATTCCTATAGAACTGAGAATAGCAGGGCTAAAGAGAATAGAAGGGCTAGTTCACTCCGCTCTTAGAGCTGAAGCTACGATTTCCCTCCTCATGACGTCACTGTGTCCACAGATCTCGGCGATCGCAAGCAAAGATATTATGATAACTTTGCATCTTTCTCTTTGTAAAAATAAGTTAGACTTTTTCTGGTTATTAGCTTTCAAACTTTACGTAATTAACACATTATTTCCGTTCATAAACATAGTTCAAAAATACTTTCTTGGTTATTATATTAAAAAAAAACCCATTTTAAACTTATAAAAATGTTTTACTAGTTGGCGAAAATGACATTATAAATACTTTATTTTGAAAAGTTCAGTTTTAACTTTAATTATTAAGAAAAAAGAAAGCATATATCGACACTTTTTTTATCTATACATTCTTTTATAACGATAAATTGAGTTAAATTTAGAATCCCTGATTTTAAAATATGTCGTTAATAGCAATTTGTTCATACTTAATCATTAGGAAACATCAACCTTAAACGCTAATTACTGAAACAAAATAATAATTTAGGTTCATAATGACATCAGAAATTNAGATATTTAAATTGAAGAGAATATAATTTTTAAAAAAAATCATAAATATTTAGAATAACTACATTAAAAAATATGTTATGAAATTAGGAGAATTTCAACTATATACTATATATTTTATTTATACTTTTTATTTACATTTTAATTTTCTTTGACTTTATCCATTTTTTTCACATGCATTTCTTTTTTAAGTAACGAGGCGGTTTCTATTTAGATAATGAATTTTTATAAAAGTTTTTAACGACCGAATAAACGTATTGCTGCTAAATATTAACTGCGTCATTTCGAAATCCATTCTTTACATAGTTGTTCATTTACTTTAGGGAAGACGCGGAAAATTATATTTTTTCCTTTTGTTTTTGTATCAGAATTTTTGCAAGTTGCAATCTCGCAAACTGGCATTTCGATGATAGTTTTAAATTCTGGTAAATTCACTGCAAAAACTGAGGAAAATCATTATAGAAAATAACAAATGTCTTAGAATATCTCGCAAAAGGAAATGATCTAATATTAGTTAGAGCTAGTAAAGCCGAACGCTCCGTTCTTGAAGTAAAAGTGCGAGCTTTGCGCTAAAGTGACGTCACTAGAGAAAATCGGAGGATTGGCGCGGCTAGAGTTACTTCAAAGGAGTGAACCAGCCCTTCTATTCTCTTTAGCCCTGTGAGAATAGGGGGAGAGTGAAAGGGGATAAGGTCAAGACATGAAATCGGTCTTCTCCCCAGATGGCGTACTCTCGAGTTGCGAATTGAACTCAAACCTTCCTAGTTTTTTTGTTCAGCTTTTAGCTTTGTCATGTGGGAAGGCGTTCAATTGACTTATTCCAGAGTAGTGAATAAAGCGTATTTATATGTTTCTATGAACTTTTCGTTAAACAACAAGCTGTCTCCTTTATATACATAATAAAATTGTGCTCAATACTCAAATTGTGTTTTAAATCTTTTATTCATAAGAATCAGCTAAAAAATAAATACAATTTAAATAGACAGTAAAATTAATAATGTTAGTTTTGTTTAAAGTTTTCCATTAGTACACATTCATCTTTTTGGTGTCTCTGCTTAATTGATTTAATTATTGGAAGGTGTGCTGAAATTAGTTTAAAGGGAATATTCTATTAGATGATATGACTAGTCAAATTAAATCTCTGTTTGATTTATTTGAAAACTGTCCGCACTTGACTTCACGCGTTATATTTCATGATTTCATATCAAGCTATACTTTCAATCACGAGGAATTAGTTTCAAGTATAAACGAAGTTGCTTCTACATTGTTTTCAGTTTGTGGTAATAATACTGCAGTTGCCTGCTTAATAAAACCATGTCTTATTTTGCCTTCTATAATTTTAGGGTAATTATTCATTTTCTATTTTTCTCATCTAAAAGATTTATAATTTTTGCCTATGATTTTTTCCTTAAATCACTGTAACTTATTAGAGTTCTTGTATTTAAATATATTCAATCTTGCAGATATTTTGTTATTCACTACAATGTTAATATTTAGCATCATTCACATGTTACTATTTTTGCTCTATTGTTAGGTTTATTAATTTTATTCATTTCATTGCAGTGTTATGACACTCTTGTGATTGGGAAATAATATTTTTTATTGTTGAAAATACTTTTTCATTATTTATGCTTTAACAGGTATTAGAGTTTTTAAATTTAAGTCCCTATTTCACACATATTTTGATCGTAGTTTTACTTAATGCAACCTCAGGATAATACTAGTAAGTTTCCAGCTTAACTTCATTTTTTAATTTAGTTCATTCAATATAATTTTGCTTCATCTTATTTATGAAGTGAAGAATGTTTTTTTTTTCTTTATGGAAATACGCAAAATAATTATTTGAATTTGTTTTACATTTATGAAATTAAATGTTTGTAAATCTGGAAAGGAAATTTGTTTGTTTCATGTTCATAGTTCAAATATGGACTTTTCATAAAAATTAATTTCAGTGCGCAAAGTTTCATTAAAATTTTAACGAAAAAATGTGTGTTCAAATCACGAGAAAATGGATTGATATTTAGATTTATTTATTAGATGTCTTAAACCATTAGTTTCTGAATTAATATTTAGTTTTTACAAAAATCTTAAAACTTGTTTGTTTTATTGTTTATTTTAGTAGTTTATTGCAATAAAAAAGTACTTCTTTTTAGTATTTTTTTAACCTATTTTTTAAAAAAATTAACATTAATTAAGTTATAATATTTTATTATAGATATATTTGTAATTTATATATGTCTTAGTTACTAATCATATATTTTGTTTCTTACTAGAATTTTAAAAACTTCTTCAACATTTGCTTTTTTGGACATTCATAAGCCTGTGGTTATGCTAAACAACTTACAAAGATTTGTTCCAATTGGTGTCCTGCTTGTTGAAAATAAAATGCTTGAAGTATGTATTGTTTAAAAACTACTCTGAAATATTAAATATATAGTCATCATATAGAAATTATTTGCAATACAAATTGTAACACTGCTAAAGAAAGAATCATGTAGAAATGGTAATAAGGAAGTCTGTGATAGGTAGGAGCAGGAAAAAAGCTCCAAACCCATAACAGTTCTTCAACACAAGTATCGAAATGGAGGTGAATAATTTTTTTAAGGTGGCTGCACTTTAAGAATTTTTTTGAATTTATTTACAAAACTAATACTAGTTATTTTTTTATAACGTTTGGATAAGTTGACTTTGAGAAGTTACTTTAGAAATTAATGTATCTTGAAGGATACCTTTTTCTAAATATAATTTCTGTAAAGTATTTATTATCTGTATTTTTATATTTCTTTTATATTACATCGTTTATATTTTTAGAAATTAGATGGACTTTGTTCTTGCTGGAAGAAAACAATTTCCAAAGTAATTATTAATATTTCATTCACTGTTCTTCAATCTATAAACTGTGAGAAGGAAACATGTTTTCAATCAAAAGCTAGAGACATAAAATCTCCTTCTGACTTTTCGATTGCATACATTGTGCAAACATCAGGCTCTACTGGGCAACCAAAGATAGTGCAAGTACCTCATCAATGCATTTTACCTAATATTCTTGATTTAAAGTGAGTACTTATAGATTATAAAATATTTGCTTAACCATTTGATTGTGCAGCTTGAAATGAGCTTTTTGGATATTGCTTTCTTATATGATAAACTAGCTTTTTTCAATTGATTATAATCGACAATATATAAAAAAAATATTTTTGTATAAGTTTTTTCAAAGTACTCAATAATTAAATTTTTTTTAAAAGATTTCCCTGTAAATTATTATGTGTCTTAAATTTTTATACATGCTTTTTATGTAGATGTACTTATTTTTAAAATCAGAAAAAGTGTTAAGTTACCCATTTTTAAGTTCATGAGCTGTAATAAATTATTTTTATTTCATAAATCAAAAATATAATTCATATGAAAAATCAACATTAATCAAGTTGTTAACAAATTAAAATCAAATGATTGAAATCTTTGATTTAAATCATGATTGTATTGCTAATTAATCTGTTATAATGCTTTGTGATTTTCGTAATCTAATCTTCGTGCAATTTATGTAATCTTCACCTATGATTCCAGTTAACTTTTACTGAATTACTGTAGAAGGAGCATAAAAATAGTGAATAATATAGCCTTTTTCTGCAATAAGTGAAATAATTAAAAATTACATGGTTATGTTATTTTCCTGAAATGTAATAACCTGAAATGTAAATGTAAATGAACCTGTTTATCTCGAACCTCTATATTTTAAAAATTTCTGAAATTCCCTACATTTACTGTCTAAAATCAATGTATTTTCCATGTTTATGTCGATTTTGTTTTTCTTCAAAACCTCTGTTTCTCGAATTTTTAATAATAGAGCACAAGTGTCAAAACTTTCTTTATCAGTAGAACTTGCAGACAGAGATGAATTTCGTGAACCCACAGGAAGTAGGGATGAACAAGTTGGGGGTGTTTCTTGGAATTCAATCACTATCCCTACACTTCCTTAACTAGAAAGGAATACAATGATTCTGATAGTAAATGAGGGGTTAATGAGTAGTGACCACCAGGGGTTAGCTTTTCAACATTGATAAGAAAGCTAAGAATATAAATTCATTTTCACCTCAAAATTGCAAGGAATGGATCAAAGGATAATTAAGTTTCAAAGTGAACTATAGAAAACCTTTGCTACTCAAACTTGTAGATGCCATCGATGAAAAAAGTTCTCTTCCAAAAATAAAGATGTTAGATGCTATCAGAATTACTGTTTTGTCTGGAGAAGTGTGTCTAAAAACTATCCAAAATGGTTTTAAAAAGCTGGTTATAAGAATAGCCGTAAAGAGGATGAACGAGAGGGTAAGGCATCAGTAAAGAAGAAGAAACTGTCGATGCTGAAAATGCAGTTCCAGATTTGCCAGAATGGAATTCAATAAAATGTGGATTTAATGTTGACATTCATTTTGAAGATTTTCACAAGTGGACAACTGCCTGGCAACAGGCGGAACATTGGCAGATCCGGAAATCATGGATAATGTCTAAGGAATATCAGAGGAAGAGGCTGAAGATCATATTGATGAACCAAAAGTGAATGCAAAAGAGGCAGAAAAAGCTATAGAATTATAAACTATTCTTGAATCCCAGGAAAATGTTGGCCATGAGGGATTTTTGCTCTTTCTAACCTTAAAAGGATAATCGAAACAAATAAGGTTATACACCAGAAATCTGAAAAATTATTTTCAGTGTTAAATATAAAGGGGGGGGGGTGTTAAATTATTTTCAATTTTTTTGATTTAGTTTAGGCAATAACAAACAGTTTACGGCCTTTAAGTTTATTTTGTTTTTCTTTTTATATTTCTTTCTTTATTTTTGTTATTATGCGTTATTAACTTGTACTATGTTTAATCTTTGTATCTTTTTAAACATTGTGACTTTGTACATAAAATTCTCAATAAATTCTTGCTGACTATGCTCGTTCCTAGGCTGGTGTGGAGCCGGACTAGTAGCCAAGCTTTGGGCTATATGGTAAAGGGTCCATAATGACCTGTGCACATGTCCGAAGCTTGGAAAAAAAAAGAAGAAAAAAAAGTGTTAAATATATGTTAACAAAAATATTATGTAAATAGATGTATGTGGTATAATTAATTTAAAGAAATGCCTACATTTTTCTACTAAAAACAATTAAAGCACTTTTAATAGAATTTCTTAACTAAATTTAATTTTTTAAAATACGTGTATAACTCGAAACCTCTTTATCTCAAATTTTTGGCCTTTCCAGTGAGATTCGAGATAAACAGGTTGGACTGTACTTGTTTATCAAATTAAAATATGGAAAATTTCTGTATTGTTTTTATTAAAAATATATTTACTTTCAATTTTGTCAAAGATGTTAACTTTTATAATTATTTTCCAGATCCCAATTTAGTATTAATACTGATGATAATATTTTGCTTTGCTCTCCCCTCACATTTGATCCAAGTATCATCGATATTTTTCTTTTTTGTGCATCTGGATGCACCCTGACTATTATTCCTGATGAAATTAAATCGATTCCTAAAAAATTAGCTGAAGTTATTATTGATAACAAAATAACTATTCTTCAGGTAAGTGTTTGTTAACTAATTAGTTTTAGACTTAAAAAAATTACTGAATTGTTTTCATATTTTATACATATAATGTTTTTTTATACCATATCGCAAACATATTTCATTTTAAATTTATTATTGCTTCATATATTTAGTGTTTCAAGTTCAGAATATAATGATTTACTGAAAACATTTTTCAAGCTATGTTGATTTAAATGTAAGACTTTACCTAAGCTGTTGTATTTTTCAATATTTTATAAATCTTTTAAGATTAATTTTTGAATTTCTTTTCTGCCAAATAAAGAAAAAATTATATACTAAGTAAATAGTTCAAGTATTTTCCTGTCTTGGAGATTCTGTTAACTCTTTACAAGAATAAATCTCTTATTTGGACACATTTTTATTATATATTATTGTTTGTTCTTATTGTTAAATGTTAAAAGTATTTTAAATTGTTAATACAAATTACTAAAAGGTTTGGAGTCTGTCCAAAATCTTTAAAAGAACTTTATAAGGTCTTTAGGCTTTTAGTTGTATTTGATCAAGCCAAATTTTTCTAGAAAAATTGCTTAAATTAACTACCTGGTGCAAAAAAGGTTCCAAGTGAATTGGTTAGAATACATTATAATTTATGAAGGGATTTTGATAAATTTTCAATCTCATAAAATATTTGAGTGATAGTCAGCTCCTAATATTAAAAAAAAAATATTATTTATTATACATATTTGTTAATATGCGAAGAAATTTTGATTACTTGAAGTGACATTGAAAGCTAAAAACACATTGAGTTTGCAAAGTTTCACTAGTAATTTAAAATTAAATAAAATATGTTATTGATTACAAGAAAATCACCATTTGTTGAAGGCAAATGAAAAAAAAAATCAAAACTTTGTTAGGACCTATGTCTTTTTCAAGTTATGTGTTCTAATTAAACTTTTTGAATTTAAAGCAGAAACTTTTAATAAAGTAAACAATTGTAATTTGTGGTGCATTTGTAAGTGGTCAAAGTTTAATTAAAAAACTTAAATGAAATTTTAGTGTTTGCTATTTAATTAATATTTTATAGCATTTATTACATTTCTACAATAAATAATCATAAATGCATCTGTTAACTATAATTTATCTATATATTACTCACTATAATACATTCTTCTTGGAAATTGTTTTATGTATCAAGTTTTGTCATTTTAACCATTAAGTTATATCTAAAATATTAACTTATAGGGAACACCGTCTCTTATTTCAAGTTTAGGAGATGAATTTATACAAAAGTCTTTGCTGAGTAGGGAATCTTCTTTGAAAACTCTTGCATTTGGGGGAGAAATTTGCCCGTCTATAAATAAATTAAGAAAATGGATTTCTCCTGAAAATAAAACAATGTTATTCAATCTCTATGGTTTAACTGAGGTTTCCTGTTGGGCAACATGTCATAAAATTAATGTGGCAGACACGTAAGATTATTTCAGATTTTTTTTTATCATTATGTTATTTTTAATCTATGCTTATGCTATTTAAGAGTTTGTGATTTTTATTTGCAAAAAGTTGAACTAAGAAAACAATGTATAAGAAAAGAGAAATGCTTTAGTTTTATTTATTTATTTCTCTTTTGAAGAAAACTGCCTGTTTTCAAATCTTTAGTTTTAATAAAACAAAATAAATTAAATATTTAAAGAATGTAATCAAACATGAATATTTTTTTATTTCTAATGGCGCATGACAAGAACAGAACGAAAATATTCTAAAAACATTCTCATGAACCTGAAACTTAAAGAATAGTCTAGAATATTCTTTTTCCTTGTAGATAAAATAATGAAAAAAAAGAAGAAAAAAACATAAATCATGTTTATGTATAAAATATAGTTCATTTATCATTCTCAAATATGTTTCAAATTATATTTTGGTATACTCTCTGTACAATAGATAATTTTTTATTATTTCATGAAATTTCTTGGAACTGGGACTTCAACAGATATTAAACTGAAGAAATGCTTTTGATTTTTATTTTGCTTTAAACAAAACCAGTTTAAATTCATAAACATTAAAAAATTTTAATGTTATTCCTTGTTTTGAAAAACAATTATACCAAACAATTGGAAAGAGATTCAAATTTCGTTGGCTAAAGTCTGATAAATTCTTTATAAAAACAAAGCATCTTTAAATTTTCTAGCAAAATTTTATGTAATTGAAGGTTAAAAATCATCACCATCTTCTTCAGTACACTCTTTGTCATTATCATTTATTCTGTGATTGATAGCCTTATATAAATTTCATACTGAATTACCTTATTTGAATTTTTAAGAGTAAATAAAATTTAAGAATTAAGAATATTTTTTCTAGAGAATCACTGTTTTTAAAACAAAACTAGACACTCAGAACTGTCTTTGAAAACAACTTAGAATGTTTTGAGACCAATTTATAAAGAAAATTTGTTTCATTTTAATTATTGAATTTATTGCCTCTTAATCAAATTTATTTCTTAATTATACTTATGCTTACTCCTGATATATTTTTTGAATGTTTGATATATTAATTCATATGCAAAAATTATTTAAATTTTTTGAGAACAATTTTCAAAAAATGTTTATTTTCCATTTCTATTATTGTATAGTTATTTTATTTAAAATTAATAATTTTCAAGTTGCGTGATCAAATTCATTACTTATTTAATAATTTAAAAAAAATTTCTTGAGACTTTCTTGAGTGTTAAAATTTCTTGAGACATTAATTCATGCTTTAAATTCTAGTAATTATTTGAATAATTTTAAGGGGATTATTTCCCTTAATGATAATATCCTAGAACCTTTTTATGAATATTCCCTAAGAGATTAGCACCAAGAATTTTATATTTCATTAATTATAATTTGAAAAAAAAAAGATTTTAATAATATTTGTGTACTTTTTCATGATATTAAAACAAACGTTTTTTCCTTTAATGAATATTTCAAAATTAAATTTGAGTATCAAATTAAATTTATTATGAAATTATTCTTACTTTTTATTGCATTAATTATTAATAATAATTTTTATCATCAGGAAGAAAAAAAAGTTATGAAAGGAACAAGTAACATGCAAATTTTCTCACAAATTTTGAATATACAGAGAAAATTATTTGAAAATAGTTATTTTTCTTGAAATTGAGAGGGATAAACGTAACATATTTTTTTAAAAACAAATCTGTAGTAAGCATCTACAACAAATATTCAATACAATGTAATTAACTGATTTGAATGATACCATAGATAATTTCTCTCCCTCAGCAGCATTTTAGAGATGATAACAAATGTGTTGTGTAGTTATTACTACTTATTATTTTTTGTAGAAATAAATTCATAGTTTTCATACTTGTTTCAAACTTTAATTTCTGTGTATTAAGTGATAAAAATGCATATAATTTTTTAAATGTAGTGATAGTCTTAATTTTCTGTTATTAGAGTTTTGCTTTTTTTTCTTAATTATTGTAAAGAACAATATCTTGATTGAGTTAAAACTAAAATTTTTCATTTTTTTCTGAATTAGGAAATCATTATTTTATTGATAAATTGCCAAAACTTCTCCCACAATATTGAAAATTTTTAATTAATAAATATATATTATTTTTAGATTTGTGAATGCTGCTATTCCTTTGGGTAAACTACTTTCTGATACAAACCTTAAATTGGATAATAATGATGAAGGAGAGCTTCAAATAGGTAAATGTTCTTATCATGCTTTGAGAACTGCACATTTATTTTATTTCTAATTTTATTTCAAGCAAGTAAGAGAATGTTTCATTTCGTGTGTGGAAAACTTGCATTTTGCATATTAAATTTTTCAATGTACAATTGTTTCATTTTTTTGTAAATGCATTTCTAAATTACCATATATTTCCATATATAAGCCCAGCAGTGTATAAACCCAAGAGTACGTTTTCTATTTGGAAATTGACCCAAAATTCAAAACTTGTATATAGGCTGATATAAGAAAAATAATAAGGCATATTACGTTTGGAAATAAAAATGTACCCCTACACTTGCAGTAATAGTAGTTTTGGTAATGGTTGCTCTGTGGATAAAAGAAGAATAAAACTTCCAAATTCATAATTTGAAGATTAAAAAATTATAGTATTCCTTTGAAATTCTCCTTTTTATGTGTTTCTTTTTTCAATTTTTATATTTAGCCATTTTGTTTTCAGCTTTTATTTTATGTAGGTTTTGTGTCATTTACTGATTATCCCTATTGGCAACAGGAGAAGTATTTCTGTGGGCGATATCATCCAATTATAAGCCGACCCCTCCAGTTAAGCTTTCGAAAAGTTTCTAAAATTTCTTGGCTTATATATTTAGAAATATATGGTGGCTGTTTTCAAATTATCTCTTTGAATTTTTAACCTTTTTAATTTAAATTTTGCATGTAAAACCCAATTTGATTTTACTTTTGTATAAAACTGATGTTTCGGTTAAGCTGATATTTTAAAAGTTAATTGATGAACCCCATTTTTCTTAAATTTGTAACTAACATCTTTTTGAAGTTTATCAAAAAAAATCTTGAATCTTGTATGATTCTTTTAAGGACATTTATTCAATAATATGTTTGCTATTTTTAAGAGTTTTAATATTCTTTTTTTAATCCATCATCTTGCATAAATTTCTTTGTTAAATACCATTTCTTTATTGAATTATTATACTGTCTATTATTTTACTATGCAGGGAAAAGGTTAATAAATTTCTTCCCTGCATCTATTGTCAAACCATATTATCGTTCATATTCACTTACGTGAAATAGTGGAAAACACTGAGTCTTGTTTTCTTCTTGATGAGCAATCCACCATATCCCTAATTCAATCATAGATAGTGATGTGTAAATTATATTTTAAATCTCTTAATATTAAAATGTTGACTTCGTGAAAAATTTTATGTTACATGAGGTAATTTATTTCATTCCAACTTTTGCTGTATTGGCAATTTGTAAATAGATTTTTAGATAATTCAAATGTACTTAGGGTTTCCTTTTTAATTCAAATTAAACAAAAAAGTTTGTTGTATTAGTCAATTTTATTACATATTTTATTTTCTCACTTACATTTTATTTTACAAAAATAAGTGTAAGCTGGTGCCCATATTTAGTGAATATAATTTAATAAGTATTTTCATTTCTTATTTTTTTAAGCTCTGAAATTATCATTTTTTATTCTCTTTAAAATGTAGGTAGTCATAAAAGATGGTGCATTGTTGATGATGAATCATTTCCTGAAAAAGATACTGCAGTATTCAGACGTACAGGGGATATTGTTATCCAGGATTCATTTGGGAACTTTTATTTTAAAGAAAGAAAAGATAATACGATAAAATACAAAGGGAGAAAGCTATCATTAGAGATATTGCATGATACTTTAGATGTTGAGGAAGGCCTTTCTAACTACAGTGTTTATTTTGATCAGAAACATTTTAAGTTGTTGTTATATTTGGTTTTAAAGAAAAGTAGAACTTTTTCAGAAAATGAAAGGAAAACGTTAATAATGAAGTTGAGAAAAAACTGTCCAAATGCTCCACCAATTGAATTATTCACAGTTCCTTACATACCTTTGACCTCTCATGGTAACTTTTTTTTATAATATGTTGTATAGATTTATAGACATAATTTGTTTAACTCACCAGAGATTTTGCACATAGAAAATTGTAATTGTTTTATCCTTCCAAATGGTTGTGCACAAGAAACATCACTTCATTTACTACTCATAAGTGGTCTTACACATAGAAAAAGTCTTGGATTTTTTATTATGTGTCAATAAGCTCACCTATCTAGGAGGAGACTATCTGGAATTAGAAGGGGGAAAAAAGAATTGCCCTTCATTCCACAATTTTTAGATAGGAAGACAGACGGAATTGGTTGGAACCAAAGTTGTATAAAAAAAGTGTGAAAATTTTAAAGCCTATAAAAATAAAATTGTAAAGTTATCTAATGTAATCTTTTTTTAGCAAACAAATAAATGAATGAATTAGTTTAATGTAAAATAATGCAAATTATTTTAATTGAACAACTGTTCTTGAAATAAATGCATTGTTATAAGCAAGCTAATAAGGGAGTGTAAATTTTCTGAATATTTTGTCAAGTGTTTTCAAAATGATAAGTTACAAAAATATATAGCGAATCCTAAAATTTTTTCTCTAACACCTCTTTTCCTTTTTCTCTTCTTTTAATTTAGTTTTTTCTGTTTTTGAACTATTGTTTAAAAATTTGAGTTGCAGTAATAAAAACTGCTTAATTGTAATAGATTTAATTCACTTTTACATTTTAAAATTAAGATAAAGCTGAGAATAAATTGTATATATGGCAATTGTACTTTTCTTTAATCACTGAGTAATGATGGCTTTGTGGTTAAAAGCACTGAGATTCTATAATTTAGAGTGGTTTTAGGTACACCTTGCTTCAGATCGGTGGGTACAGTTAATTCAGAAAAGAAAGTTGACTTATGCACAATGATGAACACATTGCCACTATCATAATGTTGGTCATAAGTTTGTGGAGCTTTAACTTCCATGAGTCCTCTGTCCCCAAATGGTTTGTTGCAGGAAAGCTTTACTTATTTGAAAAACCACTAAATTCCTTTAAGATGTAATTCTATTACAGTATTGTTTTGATAATTTGATTATCCGTTGTTCGAGTTTCCCTTAAATCCGAGCTGGTGAAAAAAAGTCAGTCTTGCTTTTAAATAATGGCCAACACACACACAACACATAGAACAATTACTACGATTGATTTAACGACGATTACTACAACTGAATGTTGAAAAGCGATATTGTGTGTTATATACTGAAACATGTGAATAGTGTATTTTAACAAAAAGCATTAGACAATTATTTTAAAGTACAATTAATCTGAGACAGTATTATAATGAATATTTTAACTTGGATTAAAGTAGTAAATGTTCCCTGATGCTCTAATGTAAGTAAATTTTCTTCAAATATAATATATTTTTCAATGAAATACTGAAATTTTAAGAATTGCTTCCATTTATTTAAATTTTTATTAAATTTTAAGTTTTTGATAATTCAAGTTTTTGAAAGTTCGAGATAGGCTCGTTCCCATCCACCTTGAACTATCGAGACTCCACTGTATTTAATTTGAATATTTTGACAATGTCCATTAATAATTGAGTATCAATATTATGCAAATAAAAACTTATTGATTGCACACTTGTAGGCATCACTTTTGTGTATATATACAACTGAAATAGTTTCGCAGGTTTATTATCTGAGTTGTCAATGCTTACAATTTTTGGTAAGTGATACTGTCTTGTTGGAACAATATTCTAGACATATTTAATTTTATTCATTATCTTAAAATGAGGTTTATTTTTAATGCATCAATAATAATTTCATTCAAATTTTCCTTGATTTTTTAATTTCTCAACTGTTTAATCATCATCTGTTGTAATCCAATTTTTCCATTTTTGGCTATTAATTCAATATTTAATTGAAAATATACTTACCTAAGCCACAGAGGCAAAGATATTCTGCCATTTAACTACCCTGCTGAGGGGAATGATAATATTCATGCAATAAAATAATAGAATTTTCACCTTTATTTTTGAATGATGGATTCACCAGATAGATTCATAGAATTCACCTCTATGATTTTCCTTACAATAAAACAAAAAGAACACTACCTTTATTCTATATAGATGCAGCTATAATTGAATAAAAATGTCTTTTTATGGATATATTATCTCTTTTATATTTCTTCAACTAAATCACACAGATATAATGAACCATGGATTAATATATTACCAAAAGTAACAAAAATTACGCTTCAATCTTTGCATAATAAATTTGAATTAAAATTACTTTAATGTGGCCTAAAACATAGATTATTTCTAAATGACCTCATGAAAATGCAGTTAAATTTTTAGTTCTAATATGAATTCGAAAAATTATTTTTCCTTTCATACTTTTTTTTTTTAACTTTATTTCACCACTGCTAAGAAAAATATTTTACAAACAGTGTTCAACTTGTGATGTGTGTTTAAGTAATTTTTTAATACCCAATGTTCAGTAGATTGTAAATACTTTTGTTACCTGATTACCACTTATTTAGCTTTTATTTCAGGTAAAACTGATTATCGAAGATTATTATTATTGGCTAAAAGAAAAGTTAGGGAGATAAATAAAACTCAATTAAAAGAGAGCTGCTCTGAAGTTATTTCTGAACTGTGGAGAGTATGCTTTTTCATATTTTTATTTTGAAATATTATCATTATATGTATGAGACATAGAATTTAGTTTTTTTTTTTCTTTCTGAAATGTGCATTACTTTTATTTGATTTTGGAAAATGTAATAATTTATAAGATTTTGTTTTGATTTCAGTTTATTTTCTTTTAATTACTGTACAAAAATGGTTATGTAATCCCATTTAATACAATAATTAATAATAAATTATGAATTATTTCTAGCAGTAACTTTATGACTGTGAAACGATAAGTAAGAAGTATAAAATTCTAATGATTAAGAAGAATTGAATGAAATGATCTTACTTATAAGTTAATTTCACTAACATTTTTTGGAAATATTATTATACATATTTGTGTATAATGTACTGTAGGTTAATTGGAAAATCTACCTCTGCTAATGTTACTTTGCAATGTGCTTACAAGACTCACCGCAATAAGCCTTACAAATGATGCCGGCAGTTTGAAAAGAGCCTGATTTTCTACTTAGCCTACATTTTAGATAATATTAGCAATACCTTGAGTTTGCCTGATCTTATGCTAATATTATATTAAATTCTGTATTTATACAATATAGTCTTAGAATCAGATGACAATTTTTCAAATTTAAATTTATCAGACCTTCAATTTTATGTACATAATTTTATTATTTACTTTACTACATTATCATTAAGATAATAATAAATTTCTAAACTTTCATCTGTTTTGTATTTTTTTTCAGGAGTTTACAAATCAGCCACAATTTACTGAAGACAGTAATTTTATTATTAGTGGTGGAGATTCAATTTCTGCTCTTCAACTCTCTTCAAACATTGAATGGGCATTTCAAATAAATGTGCCTAATTTAGTAGACAGGATTTTAAATTCTTCATTCTGTAATGTTGTTAAACTTGTGCAGTCTCATTTGCATGACGCTGAAAAAATTACTGTTAAAGAAGCAAACAATTGTGATGTATTGCAAAAGAACCCTACTCTCTTTCCTTCAAAAAGGAAGTGCATTAAACGACTGAATAGTGATAACCAGTGCTATCAAGTGTTTTCAAAACAAGAATGTGTTACAAGATGTGCATGTGGTTGTGATCATTCCAATATAATGTATAACCTTAAAAATATTCCCCATTCGTCTTTTTCATTGATTCCAATGTTTAAGTTTGATTTAAAGAAATGCATTGATGCATCACCATGTATTGTACACTATTTAAAGTAAGTTTTTCTGTTTGTTATTGTAATTTTAAAACATGATTTAACTATTCTAAACTTAGTATTATTTTCAATCCAAAAATATTTTTATTTTAAATCAATGACATATTTATTGCTAATTATTTGCATCTACTTTCGCAGGCTTAAGGTTATATCTTAACCATCTGGTTACAGGGTATACAAAAACCAATTCCCCAGAGCATACTTCTGCACCAACTCCAAATAGCTATTTCAGAAGGTTGTAGAAGGCTGATTTAAATTAATTTATTTAACTACTATAAACACATAACTAAACTGAAAATACTTAACTATAAATATGCATTTCTTAATACTGTGGTGTTAACGCTGCAGCCAAAAGTAGAAAAAGGAAAATCAGAAAATAAGAAGAGAGCAAATTACACAGCTCTTAAATATTTGTTGTGGATCCCCAGGCATGCACACTTTCTTAGAGAAAATGTTCAGGACTGACTGCCATCCTAAGGAAACCAAGAAGCTTATCAGTTAGAATGGGAAATTCACTTTTTTGGGCAGATAACGTCTCGCTCTTCTCCAGGCCCCCACTTAGCCTAATTGGGGCCCGGAACAAAAACTTCTTTGGGGGTCCCCTCTGCTTCACTACTTCAGTAATGAAGGTATTTAATATGGAGGATTTTAAAGGTATTTAACTTTGAGGTATTTAAATTTTTCACCTCATTATAAATAACAAGAAAATTGACTAGAACCTAAAATAGCTGTGAAGTCCCTCCCCCTCCAATGGTCAGACGAAATATAGTTCTGCCCATCTTATTGATTTTCTGATAATTCTATGTCCATCATGCCGATTGTTTTCTGATTGTTAACTTTGTCATCTAACAGCGAAAAATTCATATCCTTGCTGACATTAGGGCTAAATTTACGCAATTACGATGGCTCCATTAAGCCAATCAGAAGCCTGTATTTTTGTAAGCATATAGCCTTTTGCAATATGTAAAAATGCAGGCTTTTGATTAACCAAAGTTGTCCATCGTAATTGTGAAAATTTAAGCTGAATTCCTCCTTAGAAAGCCATGGATTTAAGAAATATAGATTGTGTTCATATGATAGATTAATGAAGAAACTAACATAAAACTCAAGGATTTCACACTGTACTGATATTTTGTTTTAAAAAAAGTTCATTAAAGAATGTAACGTAAAATAAACTTTCTATTCGATTCGGGGCCTCTCTAATGATGGGACCCAGGGCAACTGCCTCGTATGCCCCTGCCTTAGTCAGGCTCTGCTCCTCTCCAACTTATATCCTGGATGAGCATTGCGGTTCGAGTCGCTATATGTTAACTTTGTGTTGTTTATAAGTAGAGTAAAACATGACACGAGAAAAGCACAAATAATATCGTGTAAACAGACATACGATTGTTTCTTGTACCGTCTTCATCCAGCTCTACCTTCAGTACCAAAACAGAATTATTCATACTTAGTAAGCCATAATAATCAATTTCTTTTAGTCAAATTAGTAAATCCTTTGGAGAGCAATTGTAAAAGGGAATAAATTTTTTTACTCGAATATAATTTCACGTGTAATACAGTACAGAACCCGTTATCCGGAATTCAGAAAACCGGAAAACCAAAAGACCGGAACGAAATTCAATAAGTTTTCCGACCATTTTCAAAAAAAAAATTTTTTTTTCCTCATAAGATTTTAGGATTTTTCTTTCTTTTTTGAAAGATGTTTACCTTACCATCATTTTGGAAATAATCATTAGTGTATTACTTCATAATTTTTTCTTCTTTTTAAGATTATTTCCAATTTTTTTTTTGTTAGTTGGGTTTAACAATAAAAACGGCTTTTTGTAGCGATTCAGTAAACCGAAAAAATCAGTTATCCGGAATAGCGATGATCCTGATCATTCCGGATAATCGATTCCCTACTGTATTAAAATATCATAACTTTATTATTTAAGGTGTTTTTCATTTTATTTTAGGTCAGATGAATTGTTTTGCTACATTGGGTCTCATGCTGGAATATTTTCTTGCATAAATATAACAAAAGAAGATATGGAGTGGGAAACTGTTTTACCTAATAGGATTGAGTCATCAGCCTGTTTGTCTTCATGCGGAAATTTTGTTTTTGTTGGTATTTATCCCAAAATTGTTGTATTAAAAACACTATGAGAGAATATGTTAATCACTTTACCTTATTCAAAAACATAAAAACGTGTCTAAAAGAGTTTAAATCTAAGTTTTTTAAATTTATTAAAAAATTAAATCTTAGAGTTGAAAATTATTCTAAACACAGTTTTTAGTTATTTTGAGCAATATGAACTTTAGATATTATGAGCCTGAAGATTAAAATGTTATATTTGCTTTTTTTGAAGTTTGGAAAAAATATCTATGATCATTTTTAGAAAGTACTGTGTTTACAATTTTCTATTATTTATCCACATCTTTTTCTATTTTTAATTTATAGTTTAAAATGTTAATTTTAAATAATTTCAATTTAAAAACTGTTTGTTTACTTTCACTTCTAGGCTGCTATGATTGCCATTTATACTGTTTAGACTCTAAATATGGAACAATTCTGTGGAAATTCCAAACTGGAGCAGAAGTAAAATGTTCACCAATAGTTTCATCTGAAAATATTATTTTTGTTGGCTCACATGATAAACATGTATATGCCATAGATATAGTAAGTGCTATAGATATTGTATTTGAACTATTCATTACAACTACCATTTATAAATCAAAAGCTCTAATTTTATATTTTTTTATGTCTTTTAACATGACATATAAAAGACAGTAGAATCTGGGTTGATTATTTCTTATGAGACCATTCACTGCAAATGATAAATAAGGAAAAACCAAAAATGTGGATCAACATAAGATATCAAATAATGACTTGAAAATGTATAAATAGTTATAAAGAATTAATATATGTCAAAATTAATATATTTATGAGAAATGTAAAAAATTCTAATTAAAATTTTTTGTACTTAATGCAAAATATTTATATTGCAAAAGAAAGGTGAATAAACATATTTATTAATTTAAAATAATTTAGAAATTTTAGTTTGAACCAGGGATGAAAGACTTCCGCGAAAGAGCGTAAATCCGCTTTTTTCTCCCAATTTTTAAAATTTCCGACCCTGTTCCAAAAACTTAAATTTTTGGGGAGTCCAATAAGACAAACCCAACCTGCCCGAACGATAGTCGAACTTGAGACGAACTTTTTTCCCTCTGCAGTAGCCTCCTGAGAAAATGATTCTCAGAAGAAAATGGGTGGAATTTCGGCAGGTGCGCCATTGCCTTGACAACCGCTATAGATTTGAAAAAGAGTTCTACTCAGTTTCCTTTTGGTAACTGATATTTGTTTAGTTTAGCTGATTTTCAGAATTTTAAACATTAGGAACTGCTCCGGAATCTGCTAAAATTGCGATTCTTATTCAGATGACTTTTATGTAAATCATCGATTTTCTTATTTAACTGATTTAAAAGTTACTTGTTGCGATTCGTTTTCACGCGATTTAAAAATCGTACTCGCTATTCCCATTCACGCAATTTAAAAATCCAATATCGCGATTTGTATTTAAGCGTTTTTAAAATACAATTTCGCGATTCGTAATCGCATATTTTTAAATTCAATATTGCGATTCGTTATCAGGTTATCACGCGGTTGTATTATCAAACATCAATTTTCGTATTTATACGCAATTTAAAAATTACTCATTGCAATAAGTATTCACGAAATCTAAAAATTATGCATCTTTCTTACTTATGCGATTTTCAAATCTAACATCGCGATTCTTAGTCATTCATTTTAAAATCCAACATCGCGATTCATATAGACGTGATTTTCAAATCCAACATCGAGATTCATATTCACGCGATTTTAAAAAGCAATATCGCGATTCACATTCCCGCTTTTTTAAAATCCAATATCGCGATTTTAAAAATAAGTTAGCAGCTATGAGTAACATGATTGTATTTTAATGATGGTAGTAAATTTAAGTGCAAAAACAAAGTGCATACAGTCGATACTACCGAAAAAAATAAATTCAAGTTTGATTGGTCAAACAGTCAAAGTGACTAAAATTGCTAGTAACAATCTATCAGAAGATATTAAAGTAAAAGTTGGCGACTGTTTTAATTTAAAATGATAATTAAGCTGCAACTTCTTATAATTGCTTAATTTTCTTTAATATGGTAGTGATCAAAATTTTATAATTATATTTTTAAAAAAAATTTAAATTTCACTGTCTAAATGCTTCTATCACTTTAAATACTAAATAAAAATCTCCCAGTAGAGTTGAAAGTTGCTTTTATATATATCTCCTCGATATCACAGTATTATATAGAACTCCCCCCCCCTCCTGCTTTGTAAAAGTTCAGCTTTTTTTTTATTTTCGACCACTTTCATGCCTATTTGAACACAATCTTTTTGTCTTGTCTAAGTGCAGAGAATACATGTTCGAAATTTGTAACAGATTGCTGTCCATTTTCTATAATTCTGTGTGAATATCGATAGTTCCTCATTGCTTCAAAGACTTTGAGGCTTTACACAAATATTTGGGCAGGCTGTCGTTCTGTCCATCAATATAGTTTAGCTCTTCTTCAGCTTCTGCAATAATCTCTTGAACCGACAACACAAGTTTTAACATCAAATGGACTGTTTGTAGTGTTTTACCCAAATTGAAAAAAATCCTTATTTTTTTCTTCATTATTATTATCAGAAATTATTGTTTTTCTTCTCAAAAGGAAATAAAAAAAATTTTTAAAAAATTTCTGTAAAATTTAGGAATGATAGAGGCAGGGATTTGCTAGTTTCAAAAACAATCTAAATGGGTATTATTAACATTATAAGAATAGCATTCGGGATAGAACTGTTAAAGCAAAACGATAAATATAGAAAAACAAAAAGATGCATGAACAATGAATTGAGGTTCGACTGTATGAGTTTATTAATATAATTCCAAAAAGTGGTTAAATAAAATTTTATTAAAACTACATTTACAAATTTATATTTTTACGCTGATTTTTTTGTAAATGCTTATTTCTTTATTAGTTAATTTGTGCATCTATTTTTTCTTATTCATTAATCACCATAGCATACTCTATTATATTTTAGAATGGTGAACTTTTATGGAAAAGTAAAGTTTCCTCGGGAAGTATATTTGCATCTCCAGCATTACATGAAGAAATAAAAGCAGTGTGTATTGCAACCTTAGATGGAACTATATCTTTTCTAAAAATGGTTTGTTAAACACTATAATAATATAAAATCTTTAAAAATGTTTATATCAAACAAATTTAAGTTACTAATTAAAACATATTTTAATATTTCATTTATAAGAGTATATGTAATTAAAATATGCTCTTACTTGTAGAGTGAAACCTGTTATGTTGACCACCTAAGTTGATCAGGGGTGAAAATTTCAAAATCAGAAGTGAGCATGTCCCGTCCAATAATTTTAAGTAAACAAAAAATTATATATGAATTCTTTTCATAAAAATTGTGAACAAACTTTTCAATAAAAATTAAAATACACAAAATGCAAATAAGGCTTATAAAAATTCCATCGTTATTTTACCAAACCTACTATTGTTCAGAAGTATAAACAAAAAATGCAAAGTAATTAGTTATTTCAAGCAAAAATTACCTCAGCTTTTAATTTTTTTCAAACATTTAATTTTCTAATAAAATAAAGTGGTCAAACATTTAATTTTCTAATAAAAATAATTTAATTTTCTAATAAAATTTTAAGGAAAAGAATAATACTTAGGTAATTTAATACTTTGTTAATAAATAACAAAAACAATTTTTAAGCTAAACATAGTTCACTAGTAAAAATAATATTCAACAAAATGTTGATATTTAATAAATGTTAAGTCTTCAATGCTTATTAAAATTAAAATATATTGATTAAAAACATACTGCATGTACACAAGTATCTTTACAGTATATCTATACTTATCAATTTTAAAAAGAAAAATTATGAAATTTTAATTACAAACTAAAAACATTTATCAATTTATATTTAATTAAAAATTAAAATTTACAATTCTTAAAATAAAAGTACATAAAAAATAGAGTGAATAATAAAGAGTAATGATTTAACTCTTTCGAAAATAATTAGTTATAAAAGAAGATTTTAAACTCTTAGGAGGCTTCTCATAATCTGAAGAAAAATGTTCACTAGATCTTTTTTCGAAAATAATTAGTTATAAAAGAAGATTTTAAAATCTTAGGAGGCTTCTCATAGTCTGAAGAAAAGTGTTCACTAGATCTTTTTTCGGGTAACACTTCGGCAGCATTCTTGCAACCTTCAGAATTTTCAACAGCCGCACTATTCTTAACAAGATTGGAATCACAAGAGATTATAGGGAATTTTTTAGAGTATGAAGATAAATGTTCAACAGATCTCTTGTAGGTCTGCAACACAATCCAAAATTGAAGGTTTAGCTAATACCAACTCAACAGCTGGCAAAGTTTGAACATATTTTTGAGCCTGTACCAATTTCTGATGCTCAATATCTTTAGAATGATTAAAAAGAACTTTCTTTCCGTTGTTGCAGTAATTTATCTTTTTATTGCATATAAAACAAAAGCAGTAACCTGGCTGTTCAATTATTTTACTTATAGTAATATTCCGTTTCACTCCTTCTTGTGTTTTTTTTTAAAAGACGGAAATCCGTCAAAATACGGAAAACTTTCACCCCTGAAGTTGATCCTAATAATCAAACCAGTAAAAATTATTGAATTTCCTTTTTATAACTTAACCACTTTTCTAAGAGGAATATCAAATTATTACCCCCTCCCCAAGTTGTCAATTTACACAGTTTTCACTGTAATTATTTGTGATCTTGCTTTAAGATTCAAGTATTCTGCAGAAATTAACAATGTCAATAACTGCACACATATTTAATTCTATTTAGGATTCTGGTGATTTAATTTGGTCATTTGAGTATCAGAAACCTCTATTTTCTTCCCCAAGAATTCTTTCCTCATTGATTTATGTTGGAAGTACTGATGGCCATATGTTATGCATGGATCTGACAGGACAATTGGTATTTTTAGTTTGTGATAAATTTTTCTTGACAACAGTTATGTTTGATAATTGTATTAATTAAATTTTTTCACTCTTATCTGGTCTTTGCTTAATTGATAACACTTGAGTTGTGTCCATTTTCTTAACACATATATTGAGCTGTGTAAAGAATAAAAAAATTACCAACCATCTATTAAGGTTTTTGAAGCTGTAAAAAATACAGATGTTAAGTGTTTTGGAAAAAGCACGTAATCTTTAAAAAGAAAATAAATAAAATTTTGCGAAACTAAACAATCAATGTTAAAATATACATTTTACTTCTCAAAAAAGATTTAATACTAGGAATTGCAGTGGGTAGCTCTTTATGCTTAAATTTTTAGCAATAAACTTGTAATTTATATTTAGCAAGTGAATGGATTTAACTAGCAAATTTTGTTTCTGTTGTTCCTCGTTAAACACGGGTGTCCAACTGAACAAATGACTCACAAAAAAAATAAATAATAATTATTATAAATTTGAATAAATGCTTGAATTATTTTCATTCTATCTTTTTTGATGTGATATTAATTAAGTTTTAAATATTCTGCTAGCCGTAGGATAAATTAAATAACTGTAACTTTTATTTTGTATTGCTTTGTAAAATAATTACCCATCAGGCTATTTACATTTATGTTCTATAAATTTATATCAATATTTTCATAAATGTTCACAATTTTAACAATTGGAAGAACAACCTGGCAATGTTTTCGTTTTAGAAACACGAAAAAATTTATACTATGTAATTTTACTTTCTTCCAGAAAATGAAGTATAAAACAAATGGACCAGTTTTTTCCTCGGCAGCTAATGCTTCATTCCCTGGAATTATCATATTTGGCTGTCATGATGGCATTATATATTGCCTCAATGAAACATCTGACTTACTATGGAATTTTTCATGTGATGCACCAATTTATGCTACACCGTTTATTTTCAAGTGGAACGGTGAAAATTTTGTTGCTGTAGCTTCTACCAAGGGGAGTATATATATATTAAAACTGAAAAATGGTAAATTAATTATGTCTTACAACTGTCCAGGAGAAATATTTTCTTCGCCTGTTATTGTAAATAATTTATTATTAATTGGATGTAGAGATAATAATGTATACTGTTTTAAAATAGAATAAAAGTTTTATTAATTATTATTTATTAACTTTATTTATTAATTAAACTTTTTTAAGTTTGTTTCATGACTCTTGTGAACTTTCTGAAATGTTTTGAGTAAAATATTTATCTCATAGAAATTGATTTGATAATACTTAAAATATAAATGTTTTACTGCAATTTAGTCTTCTATATACTCAACCATTTTTACTATAAGTCCAATAAATACTTTTCTAAAAATATAATTGCTATAAAAATTGCTCTTATGTTTACTAATGCATATTTGATGATTTTTGTAGATTTACATTTCTGTACTGTATGGTTTCGAAAAATAATTGTACTAAGGCATTTATTTTCAGTTTTTTATATGAATCACAAATATTTAAATATATATTGATTGATATACAGTATATTGCGTTTCAGTGAATACATGAAGTTTTTAAATTAACAAATATTTTAAATGTTCGTTGAAGTGACAAAAGTATATTTACATGAAAAGTAGCATATTTATAACAAGTTGCATTAACTAAAAAGCTTCATAAACATAACACTCTAGATTACTATAAGAATATACAAGAAAAAAATTCATTGTTCATTTACAGCAATTCAGTAAGTAAAAATCAGCAGTAAAAATTTGATCCCTTATAATATAACTGCTTTTCTTTTATTCTTAAGGCATTTAATAATTAAAGTGTAAAAGTAATGTATAAAGTAAAAGTACCTACATTCTTTCAATACAGCATCTCTAGAAAACAAATTGTTTATTAGACTTGTTTGGACGGCACTTATAATGTTCAAACAAGTTAGTTATACACATGTTTTCAGAGGCTTAAGCAAGTTTTGGTTTAACTTACACTGTTACAGTTTTGTATTTTTTCCCCCCCAAAAGGGTAACAGGTGTATAATTAATCAATCAATGCTATGTTATCAATCAATGTGCTAAATAAATGCTAACATTTAAGTATTTTACTTTTCATGCACTTCAAATTAAAATATTGAGTTTAATTTTAGTAGAGTATTCAATTTTTCTATCTCACTTCCAGAATATTATTTGAGATTTATTAAATAAAAGTTGTTTTTTATCTCTGAGATGCTGTAACAAAGGGGGAAGAAATCAGCTCCGAATAAATAGCACTAAGTTCTGTAATAACTAAAAAAAAACAACTAAATATTCTAATTTTGACTGGCATGTTATAAAATTCAAGAAAATATATTCTTTGTCACTGTACTAAGTAGTACTAGATAATTTTTTATAGTAATAACATAAAATGAAATATTTAATTAAAACTGAATAAATTACTTTTTTTTCCAAACAATAAATTAAGCTTGAATATTTTTAACTGTATTAAGATTAACAGTTTATAAAATTATCAAATTTTGCTTTGAATTTAATAACTAAAATATGCCTTTATACAGAAATAAGAGCTTATTTCCAAACTTTTAAAAATAAGGTTTGATTTACAAACTGGAAAGAGTGATTTGACATTTAATGTTGCACTAGAATTATATTAATGGGTTATTGGCGATGGTCTGTGGTTAATTTTTATGAACTAAAAAGAATTTATTAGAAAACAAGAGGCTGTTAGAAAATATGAAAGAATGAACTATCTAAAACAATTTTTATAAATTTTTTTTAATACCTTGGTCAAAGTAAATTTCCAAAGTAAAAAAAAAAAAAAAAAGAAGAAAAATCTAACATTTACAAATAATTAATTTTAATCAGCAGTCCTATTTTGCTTAACTTTGTTGAAAAGTATCACAATATAATTTACTTTATCATATTTTATTGATCAAAAAAGTATTTGTAAAATTAATATTAAGTCAAACAGCAATAACAAAGTTAAATACTTAAAGAAATAATAAAAAAAATTTGCTTTTTTAGTTTATTTTTGATTACAACTTGAATACAAAGCTTAGATTTAAAAAAATGAATACAAAGTTATTACATTAACAGAGTAAGAAAAAACAACTTTTCTTGTTTAAAGCTTATTTTATTGTTGGACAACAATTTAAATTATTGTTTGAAAACAATTCAAAAATTACTTTATGAAATAACTATCTCATTACAATTCATAAATAATAAACTAATCAAACTATTATGACTCAAAAACACATAGAAAAAAGTTAAAACTATATACAGTGAAACCTCCTGTTATGGACACTCCTGCAAAACGGACGCCTCTCAATACGGACATATTTTTAATTCCCCGGGAATCTTCTATGAATAAACCATTACGTACATTCTCCGCAAAGCGGACACTCCCGTAACCGGACGCGGACAGTCATTTTGATCCTGTAACGTTGTTTTTTATCTCTACAAACCGGACACTACTTTTTCTAAATAAATTGCAAGATAAAAAAATGCAACTTTTCACCATTTTTAAAGCATGTAAATAAAACTTTTTGCCTTATCCATAACTAAAAATATTGTTAAGCTATTTCACCACCGAAAAATCAATCTTTCTCCTGTCACCTTGCCTTATCTTTGTAAAGAAAGGAGAGAAAATGGTACTGCACTCCTGAAATAATTCTGACATCGGCATCTTTTGATCTTTTCATCTGGACCACACAGGTTATGAGACCCCTCAAGTTGAAATGACTTCTCTCAATGCTTCTTCCCCATTGAAAATTTCTTTAATTTTCTTATCAATTTGAAGACTGTATTTAACACAACTGGGGTAAAAAAAAGAGAACAGAAGTATAATCTTTGAGGTGTTTATATAAATGAAACATTTATTCAGACACTTGATAGCTGATCAATTGTGAATAATCATCTCCATAGGTCCTCATGACTTACAGGTATGCATTACTTTTTTTTCTGTGAATCATGGGAGGTTTATTTTCCAAGAAGGTATTAACCATGTTCCCTATCAAATGATAAGTAGGTGTAAGGGGATGTGAACCTAATAATTGAAACGGACTGAGGACAGTACGCTCCTATTTGGTATCATATGTCTAACTTGAGTATCTATGCTAATAGGAAAATTATATTTATTTATCTGTAGCTGCATCCAGAATTATGTATTTATATCAAATTTCTTTATATATTCTTTTTTATCTTTCTTATTGCTTAAATAAATATTCTTGTAGATATTTACAGTATCCTTGTAGATATTATTTAATTATTTCTAAATCTTTGAGAATATTGTAAAAACAATTTACGGTGTTAAATTTCGTTATTAGGGTATCCTTCCCGTAAACGGACAACTCTCATAAACGGACAAATTTTTTGGTCCCATGAATGTCCGCTTAACGGAGGTTTCACTGTATTTTAAATAACAGCAATTTTTATTTTTTTTTACATAATAGACTTTTTACCAGTCTAAGTATAAAAATATGAAACTGCTGTTATTCAAAAATGAAATTTGTCTTTTGCTTTCACACTAACATATTACCAATACCTCAAACATGATTGACAAGTACAAAAATTGTTAAAATTTTTACAAGTCTTGATCATGCCATTTGAAATATGCTAACAGTTTCTTCACAAAATATACTTCAATGCTGTTACATTGCGATAAAATGTTGTTCTATGAAGTTTACAGTATAAGTTCTCTAAATTCTGTTCGTCAGAAAACATTGAATAAAATTCTTAACATGTCTAAATTTTTTTTGAACACATCAAAACCAACAAAGTTTAATTGTTGTGAAATTGCATAGTTATTAGCTGAATTGCATAGTTGAATGTTGATTATTCAATCAACAAGGGAGTTAGTTATTTACAAATGTTCTAAATTTCATAACAAGTTTCTAAATGTTGATATAAATCTAAATAGAAGCTACAAAGAGAAAAAAAGGTATATGTGTTAAGTGTGATCTAGCATTAAATGTAAGTATACAATCAAAATTCATTTTTACAAACATACAATTTTAACAGTCATGTTATCTAAAACACATTTGAACTTATAAAACTTGAAATTTATTATCACAACGTCAAATTCATTTTGTAAAATTAGTTAATGCAATCTATATAACAACCATGTTCTATTTTACATCATATTATAAATATAAAAAATAGTCGTAATTAAAAAGTATATCATCTTAACAAACACCCTCTTCACTGTATTTTTGGTCAGTTACATCATGTAATTAAAATAGAATGTATTCAATCAATAACATAAAATTGTTATAAGTCAATTTTTTTAAAAAGCAAATCAGATGCTAAGTTTGATTTGAAAAATATTTTTCAGGTATTAAAGGAACTGGTGAGAAAATAATTTCTTTTTTTAAACTGACCAAACTGAGGGTAAATGATAGAGTGCCTTTTTCACACCCAAACTACTAAAAAATAAATAACTTAGTTGAGCTAAACATGAATGAAAATTTTTCAATTACAATTCTATACCACACTATACTAAATAAATAATTTGTGATAAAAAGCACAATGGAAAAAGAGTTAACAAATATTAAGGTATAAAACATAATTTATATTCAATTTGCAACATTCCTAAAATATATTTACAGGGTGTACAATAAAACTGCCATAAGTTTTATCAGATTCTGAATAACGGAAACTAACACTTTGATTATAATAACTACCATGCATATCTAAATATAAGCATATTCCAGTATAAACTAAGAGTTTCTTTCTTTTTTTAACTTATCCAATATTGAAAACCCTTATAAAAGCAGATGTAAAAAAAAATAAGACACCATCTTTGTGAGTAACTTTCAACTTCTGTTATAGATTTCCTACCCAGCCTTATTTGTTTATTTTTTCAAGTCTTTAACTAACCGCTCTAGATTAATATCATCAGAAGTTCAGCTTGGTAAATAGCCAAAATAAATCAGACCTAACAGCGAGTATCAGAATTCAGAAGCTAGCCTGTTCTTTTTCTGTCCGTTTGCTGTTTTATGAAGAAAAATAAACAGTAAAAAAAATTTACATAAAAAATATAATTTTTACATCATTATTTTTATGCTTCCTTTTTGCCAACCGCTAATGCTAAAATTTTTGTTGGTAATGTTTGCCTGGAATTTTACAAAGCTAATAGGTCCAATCATAAGCCGGCTTCCCATATAAACTTATGAAAATTTTTCACAAATCCTGGGTCTATTTTCGGAAATATACAGTAAGTACTTTTTAATTATCTCAAGTAAGAGTACCATATTTTCTTGACAGCTAAAGAAGCATCTAGGTATTTTTTTAAAAAATTCATATTTTCATGCAGTAGATTTGTGAATATTTGACTGTTTTATAAATCATTTTATTTTATCTTATAAAATTACTTTTCAAATTCATTATTAGCTTCATTGTCATCAAGAAAATATGTTACCAAAAATAACCTATAAAGTATGCTTTCACTTTTAAAATATATTAAATCATGAATTAAACACAGATTGATGAATATCATCTAATGGAATGTTAATAATACATATATGCTAGCAACAAATTGTAATCAAGCTAGTAATGGTTTTTGGTTAATTAAAAATTTACAAATATTTTATTAAATTGAAATAGTTGAATGTGAAGGAAAATTTCATCAATTGTATTGTTACATAATTCCCCGTTGTAATAATACCAGAAAGTTCTGAATTTTAAGACTAATCATTCGAAGAAATTTGGTTTTGTTATCATTTTACTGAAGATTTATTAATGGGTTATTAGACATTTTAATATAATAAATACTTAAAATCACACACAAAACTTACATTTTTTATAAAAACATTTTAAAGACAAGAGAAAAAATTTTGACACAAAAAAAATTATAATAAATTCAAGACAGAGTGAGTTCTTTGATCAAGAGAGGAAGAATACATATTTATTATTACAGGTAACACCCTAAATACATCTTACATATCTCATTATATTCTTCCAATAAACTGCAATTTATTAAAGTTGCAGTAAATGTATACAAAAAACATTAAGTTGAATGAAAAAAATATTCTATCAAACCATTTTTAAAAGATAGGAATTTATAAATGTATGAACTATTTTTTTTAACACAATTTTAAATATCAAGCATTTGTTTTTTGCAAAAAATATCAATGAAATATCAGTTAACAAAATGAGTTAAAATTTTACTTAAAGCGCAAAAACATTTTTCTGTCAAAGTTAAAAAAACAGATAAAATGCTTACCTTTCATTAAGGTCACTAATGACTACTTTCAATGAATAAATATGAGCTGAAATATAAATGATAAATTTAACAGATGTAAATATATTATCTAAGATCTATGAAATTGTTAATTTTTTTCTACTTTGACTACTTAAATAAAAGTGCAAAATAAAATTCTTTTAAGAGTAATATACAATAAGGCACATATAAAAATAACTAAAATTTTCAGCATGAATTAATGTTTTGTGCCTTTCTGTTTATCTTTGTGAATAAGGTTGATTTAAACCTTAGAAACAATAAAACATTATATTTGCTGTCCTAATCACAAGTGATACTTGATTTACAAAATATGGTTTATTAGTTTTTGAAAAAAAAAAAATGAAAATCCTTATTTATAAGGTGCAATATAAGATTGTCTAATGCTAAACACAGATTAAAATTAAACTTCTAGAAAACTACATAATTTTTTAATCTTTACAATTTACTATGGTAGAAATACACTTAGAAGAAGGAACATGCGATTCAGCATTACATTTCCAATTTACTACTTAACATTTGTTAACCTTACATCCTAAAATGTAACTTCTCAGCAATTATTTTTTTTTAACATAAAAATATTAACAATTTAAAAGTAAGTCCAGGCCAGGGATCTGTCCAGGCCAAATTTACTACCGTTTTGTGGTACCTTCACAAATACAACATTAGGAAAAATTTCACAAAATATTTTTTCTTAAAATTTTATTTTTGTATCCCGTAAGAAACGAAAAATCTATATTTTTGTGGTAATTTTTCAATATAATTTTTACAAATTATGTCAAAATTTTCACAATTCCACAAAAATTTTAACATAATATGTTAAAATTTCCCAAAATAGGTAACTTTCAGAAAAACCTAAACTGACCCCTGGATTCAATTCTCAAAACATTTAACAATTCATTAAAAAAAAGAAATTGATTGTATGACTTTTAAAATAGTCTTAAAACTTCAGAATAAAGGGCATTACTAAATTTTAAATAAATAAATGTCACTAAGAATAAAGTTTTACTTTATAACAATAAGAATTTTGTTATTATTTTAAAAGAAATATAATTTTTTTTAGAGGAGTTAGTCTAAAACCTAATTACAGAATCAAATGCGAATTAAAGACTTACATCAGCAGACAAATAATGAACCTAAATAAAATATGTAAAAGACAAAACTTAAGGCAGTAAGAGGCAAAGGAAGAAAAAAAAATACTATGACAATAAATAATTTAACATATGAGACAAAATTAACAATAATATAAATTATTTAATTCTAATCATTGAACAGGCAAGGATGACTATCGCCCACCTTCAATACATTCAATTAAGGCAAAAATTATATTAACACTAAAAATTTAGCGAGTTATTTCCATGCTGCTCTAAGAGTCTTCCGAGCTGCCAAACGTTTAGTAGTATAAGACAAAATAAGAAGTCCTAAAAGTACAACACTAATTAAATAATGATCAAAATCATCTTTAAGAATGTCAAAAGTTTTTGACGGAGTTACTCTTGTATAGAACAAATCCAATCCATAAACAAATACCAAACATGTTGACTCTAAACCTGATGGGGCAGTTGTTATACCCTTGACTTGCATAACACTTTGGTTGTAATTAATGATACCTTCAGCCATTACTGGTAATTCTGGAATGTAGGGAATAAGGCCTTCTTCACGATGTTCAGGAAGTGGATGTATCGGTCGACGAGGGTCCAAGAATGTTTTAGGTAATTCTAAAATTCCACCGGAAGGTAAAACAATCAATATGTGCTTGCTCGTCATTCCACGCTCTGTGATAGTGTCAGCCATAGAAATAACTAGATTGGGAAAAATGAAGGTTTGGTGCTCAATCAGTGGTAATGGAGGAGGGGCAAAAGATGAAAAGGCAGTGGTATTACTTTGATACATTCCTTCGAATAGTTCAAGCGATGAAATCTCCATTCTTCTAGATTTCTCATTGTAAAAACTATAGACCACCCAGTTTTCAGAATGAACCACGTGAATCGGTGGCCTGCATCTTTTGTGAGAAGCTGTATAAACAACTAAACCTGTTATAACATCCACTAAGTACAGATTGCAAAATGTTTTTTGCATCGAATCCATTCCAACAGTAAATACAGCAGCAAGATTTGGATTCAAGTATTTATACAGGACACTGCGATCTCCCATAACTCGTCCTTGAGAATGTACATGTTCTTGAGGATTTTTGGTAACCACAGTGACTATTTTATTTGGTAGCTTTACTTTCCACATTTCAATGGCAGCCAGATCATTATTCTTTTCAACTATAGAATATCCAGTTAAAGTGCCAGAAGACTGGTCAGCCGTGAAAAAGTAATGAGACTTGGTGTGAGAAAATATTTCTTTTACTTCTGGATAGATGTGCACTTTATTATTAGAATCCAGAAGTAAAATTGGTCTCAAATAATGATCAAGACTGCCCATAGGCATTATTTGTTTAACCTGAAAGGTAAGGATTCTACTTTCTAATGTTTTACCAGTAATTGGATTAAACGAATACACTCTCGATTTTTTAGAGTTTAAATGTTGTCCAACTGTAGTACAAACAGGAGGATACGGAAAATGAGCAGTTGTTCTTTGAACAAACAACGAAAAATAAGGCTTTTGAGAATCACCTATATAAAATGGAGATAATTCTTTTTCATAATGGCTCCATATAATTAAACCTGATAGATTATCGATCCCAAAAGTTTTACCAGGTTTTGTGAGAACAACAATAATTTTATGAAGACCAAAAGTATCTCGAGTTAAAGTCTTCTTGTCTCCCCCCATGCTGATACCATCTCCTTTAAATCCCATAACAGCTTGTAAAAGAGCAGTTTGAAACAAGTACACTTGAGATTTTAAACGGGTTAAGAGCATTGAAATCAAACCAGCATCTGGTTGACTAAATTCCTGTTCTATGCTTGCATCCATATCTGACAAAGGTAGATCCATTATTTCAGATGAAACAATACAAGATAACGCTTCTTCTCTAGACCAATTAATTCTGCCTTGTCGATGTACCATTAATATCGAATAATCTTCAAACAGAAGTAACATTTTATAGCTAATATGATAATCTTTTTTGGCATCTCTTTTTGTGTAAGGAAGTATGAAAATTGATTCTAATTTACCACGGTCTTCCGTCAAACTGTATTCACCTTCCAATTCTTGGATATAGCTTTTGACATCAATATCTGCAGCTTTGATTTTGAATGTTGACTCCACTAAGTTAATTGAAAATAATGTCAATCTATCATCAATCAGAGTCGAAGTTAACTTATTCAAGTTGGGTAAAAGTTTAACTAATTTTAAACCAGGAGGTTCTATTTTTAATAGAATACCACTGCCATCCAACTGTAGTGCAAAAACAGGCTTTTCTGTTGTTCCTTGATAAGGCAAAGTAATGATGTTTATATTTTGAATATTTTCAGATACCTCAATTCCAAGACTTTTTAATGACACAGGAATAAATGAACCGCTATCCTTTATAGATATAAGATAAATGTTTTCTTTTTTGCTATCCAAACATGCAAAATAACTGCTAGAAATAAATTTGCATTGAGTATTTTTATCAAACCAAGGTGCAGGTATAACATCAGACGTCTTCAGAGATGCTCGAGTAAAACCATACACAGATACTTGGGCTTGTTGCTTAGTAATCATTTCAACTAAAATGACTTCCCTAGAGGAAGGGCTTATTTCAAAAAAATTTATTCCAGTTTTCTTTTGAATATGAGGAAAAGGTGTCTCCCACTGCAGTACACCTGTATTAGGATCCCAACTACGAATAAATTGTCCTCCGCCATTCACCGTAATCAAATCCCCATCGTGAGACATGGCATTAATTTCTCCGTTCTTTTCATTTTCTAGTATTTGCCTCCAAACTATACTTCCACTTCGTGTGCTAAGGCAAGCCAGTACATTTTCTTCGGTAGCCACGACAAATTTTTGTAATCCACCTACTGTTGGATCTATATAAGTGAATTTTACTTTCCCAATGTACTGCTGTTTCCAATCAAATTTGCCGACTTGATCTTCGTAAAGGCAACTAACAATAGTAAATAATGTAGTATATAAATATAAATTAAGGAAAATTCGTAAATAATGATGCAAAGCCATCTTTACTTATGTTATGTTAAATTTATTTATTTAAAGTAAAGTATAATCATTAATCAGCAATTACAGATACATTTAAACAATAAAACAAACATTTATTTATTTTTTTTCGAGACAGTGCAGACTACACACAACACATTTTTATTATTACATTCAGTTACAGTTAATTTTGTGCAAATATAGTTTTCGATTTAATAAGAAAACAAATATTTTATTTTCAAATGAAATGAAATATTTTGATGATTTTGTGAGTTGCATTTAATATAATTGCATTTGCATTATTTTTTTAATCAAAAGCGCTAAAATTAGGAAAATAAACATTTCTAAAATTTATCTGGCAACACTTCGAATTTCCTGTTTTTCACTTTTCGTTACTCCGAAATTTCAGGAGCACGTTGTTTCATAGTAAAGTATAATAACTTCTCATACAAATTGCCTCAATCATGCCACAAATGAGTGTGTCTGAAGTATATGAAGAAGTAGACAAAACTGAAGTTGATCGCAAATCTGGTACAGAATCAGAAAGTGATGATTCTTCTCCCGAAGGTGATGAAGCCGATGCTGGGCAGTCCAGCACCACGAGCCAAATGGCTCAGATGGCCGGCCTTAGTGAAGAATTAGTTAGCAAGGCTAAGCAAAGTCGAGGTGAGAAAAAGGCAAGAAAGCTGATGTCTAAACTGGGCCTTAAACAAGTTCAGGGAGTCTGCAGAGTAACCATTCGTAAGTCAAAGAATATCTTATTCGTCATTACTAAGCCTGATGTTTACAAGAGTCCTGCTGGTGATACATATATAGTTTTTGGGGAAGCTAAAATTGAAGACCTTAGTCAACAAGCTCAGATGGCTGCTGCCGAAAAATTCAAAGCACCTGAATCTGCTGGATTGGGAGGTGATGGTCCATCTCAAACTATCGCCTCACAGCCTATCGAAGAAGAGTCTGAAGAGGAAGGTGAAATTGACAACAGCGGTGTGGAGAGCAAAGATATTGAGCTGGTCATGTCCCAAGCTAATGTATCACGTAGCAAAGCAGTTAAAGCTTTGCGTAATAATAACAATGATATTGTGAATGCTATTATGGAATTGACTATGTAATACTTATCTTCAGTGTGCTAAATTCATTTAAATGTTTCACTATTATTGTAAAAGAAAAACAACCATAAGTATCCTTATATTTACTTATCCTTGTTAAAAATGTAATTAAAACATTTGCTAAATAGTTAGTAATGTGTTTTATTAAGTGGGATATTTTTCAAAGTTTAATTATGATTTAACAATAAATATGCTAAATTTATCATAAGTTAATATTTCATTTTTTTTTTAGTAGGAAATTAAATTTCAGTTATCTTCACCCTCTGACAATATTTTTTAAGATTTTATTTTCCATGATTTTTTTTGAAAAGAAAAAGTTGTCAAAATTACAGTCATGCTTATCAGAGCGATATAAAAAGGTTTATAATTTGTTTCTGTGGTATTTTTAGTATATCTGTGGCTTAACAAATAATTTGCTCAAATCAATACAATGTCATTTTACTTATGTGTTTATATTAATTTGTATCATTAGTTTCTAAACTCTTTACCCGATCTAGTTCAGCGTCAATTCCTCTTAGCATCTTTCGAAGGGACCATTGTTATTGCATCTGATTCACAGGCCCTTGGCCACCAAAATATAGAGGCCCGCT